TATGGATTTATGTGGCCTCACTGGCCTATCTGAGGTTCTAAAGCTATGTCTAAGCTACATCTTGACACTAAACTCAATAGGGGCCAATCATCTACTTTTTGAAATAATTGGTCAATTGTGACACTACCCCCTCTCTCTGCAGACACAAATTGAAATTCACAAAAATGAAGGCAAAATTAATACGCCACTTGACTCGAAATTTTCCTTCAGATAACCCAAATAAACGCATTTTCAGTTGAAATGGCATGTTGCCATTGCAAAAAGATTACAACTGTGCCTACATACTAGCTTACTGACTCGTCATGATCACAATTGTGTTGGGACTACATTTATTTTTGAATACTACTTTTTTCTATTCAGCGGAAGTGACGTATTAGGGCATTTTGGCCTAATAGCCACATGGTTGGATGATTTCTGGCTTTAAATTGCGTTTTTCCTATTTACTAGAGTTTTTCAAGTAGTTTTGTGCAGTTTAAGAATATTCTGACAGCAATTATGAAAAATATGGCTTCTTCATTACCCCTGGGGTCATTTTTCCAAGAACCCAATGGTTTTCCTTTAAATTTGACTAGTTTTTCATTTACATCATGAAATCCACTGCCTGATGGTGACATTTTTCAGTATCGTGTCAAGAAATTGAGTATTTTATTGCATATTGCGATTTTTAGCCAAAATCACTGAACCGTGAACAAGAAAATTGGACAAATTTGGCCCACTTTTTGGCAAAATCTTACTAAAATCATCACTTTTTCATACTTTATTCCATTCAACAACCTCCTGATTTGAAAAATGATGACAAATTTGATCAGTTTTGACTCTGGCCTAGAGAATTGGGACTTTTGAAATATTTTTTAGCTCGAATGTAGTCATTCAGAGTGAGCAAATACATCAAAAATTGACACTTAACTCACCAATTTCTGACTGCACCCCCGATATGTACCTTCTTTCTATACTGGAAACCATAAGATGGAAAATTCAATCTTTATGATGAATAGCAACTCGTTGGCTTCCCCATTTACGACAACAAATGACATTTAGGGGTCACTAAGGACAAAATTGTAGCCAAATATCGTCAAAATCAGTGTTTTTTGGGGTAAAAAGCGAAAACTGCTGATTCAGCAAAAACATTTAATTTGTTCATGAAAATTCCCCTTTTTGCCTCCGTCCAAAATATGTTTCACACTAATAAACTTCAATTCTGGGCGATTCTGAGTAGTTTTAAAAAATTTTGGTCACTTTCACATGTGACTAATAGCCACATGGTTGGATGATTTCTGGCTTTAAATTGCGTTTTTCCTATTTACTAGAGTTTTTCAAGTAGTTTTGTGCAGTTTAAGAATATTCTGACAGCAATTATGAAAAATATGGCTTCTTCATTACCCCTGGGGTCATTTTTCCAAGAACCCAATGGTTTTCCTTTAAATTTGACTAGTTTTTCATTTACATCATGAAATCCACTGCCTGATGGTGACATTTTTCAGTATCGTGTCAAGAAATTGAGTATTTTATTGCATATTGCGATTTTTAGCCAAAATCACTGAACCGTGAACAAGAAAATTGGACAAATTTGGCCCACTTTTTGGCAAAATCTTACTAAAATCATCACTTTTTCATACTTTATTCCATTCAACAACCTCCTGATTTGAAAAATGATGACAAATTTGATCAGTTTTGACTCTGGCCTAGAGAATTGGGACTTTTGAAATATTTTTTAGCTCGAATGTAGTCATTCAGAGTGAGCAAATACATCAAAAATTGACACTTAACTCACCAATTTCTGACTGCACCCCCGATATGTACCTTCTTTCTATACTGGAAACCATAAGATGGAAAATTCAATCTTTATGATGAATAGCAACTCGTTGGCTTCCCCATTTACGACAACAAATGACATTTAGGGGTCACTAAGGACAAAATTGTAGCCAAATATCGTCAAAATCAGTGTTTTTTGGGGTAAAAAGCGAAAACTGCTGATTCAGCAAAAACATTTAATTTGTTCATGAAAATTCCCCTTTTTGCCTCCGTCCAAAATATGTTTCACACTAATAAACTTCAATTCTGGGCGATTCTGAGTAGTTTTAAAAAATTTTGGTCACTTTCACATGTGACTAATAGCCACATGGTTGGATGATTTCTGGCTTTAAATTGCGTTTTTCCTATTTACTAGAGTTTTTCAAGTAGTTTTGTGCAGTTTAAGAATATTCTGACAGCAATTATGAAAAATATGGCTTCTTCATTACCCCTGGGGTCATTTTTCCAAGAACCCAATGGTTTTCCTTTAAATTTGACTAGTTTTTCATTTACATCATGAAATCCACTGCCTGATGGTGACATTTTTCAGTATCGTGTCAAGAAATTGAGTATTTTATTGCATATTGCGATTTTTAGCCAAAATCACTGAACCGTGAACAAGAAAATTGGACAAATTTGGCCCACTTTTTGGCAAAATCTTACTAAAATCATCACTTTTTCATACTTTATTCCATTCAACAACCTCCTGATTTGAAAAATGATGACAAATTTGATCAGTTTTGACTCTGGCCTAGAGAATTGGGACTTTTGAAATATTTTTTAGCTCGAATGTAGTCATTCAGAGTGAGCAAATACATCAAAAATTGACACTTAACTCACCAATTTCTGACTGCACCCCCGATATGTACCTTCTTTCTATACTGGAAACCATAAGATGGAAAATTCAATCTTTATGATGAATAGCAACTCGTTGGCTTCCCCATTTACGACAACAAATGACATTTAGGGGTCACTAAGGACAAAATTGTAGCCAAATATCGTCAAAATCAGTGTTTTTTGGGGTAAAAAGCGAAAACTGCTGATTCAGCAAAAACATTTAATTTGTTCATGAAAATTCCCCTTTTTGCCTCCGTCCAAAATATGTTTCACACTAATAAACTTCAATTCTGGGCGATTCTGAGTAGTTTTAAAAAATTTTGGTCACTTTCACATGTGACTAATAGGCAAAACTGCCCTAATTCACGTCACCACACTAGTCAATGGGCAAAAGGGCAAACGCCTGACTTTTTATCTCGAGTTATGGATTTATGTGGCCTCACTGGCCTATCTGAGGTTCTAAAGCTATGTCTAAGCTACATCTTGACACTAAACTCAATAGGGGCCAATCATCTACTTTTTGAAATAATTGGTCAATTGTGACACTACCCCCTCTCTCTGCAGACACAAATTGAAATTCACAAAAATGAAGGCAAAATTAATACGCCACTTGACTCGAAATTTTCCTTCAGATAACCCAAATAAACGCATTTTCAGTTGAAATGGCATGTTGCCATTGCAAAAAGATTACAACTGTGCCTACATACTAGCTTACTGACTCGTCATGATCACAATTGTGTTGGGACTACATTTATTTTTGAATACTACTTTTTTCTATTCAGCGGAAGTGACGTATTAGGGCATTTTGGCCTAATAGCCACATGGTTGGATGATTTCTGGCTTTAAATTGCGTTTTTCCTATTTACTAGAGTTTTTCAAGTAGTTTTGTGCAGTTTAAGAATATTCTGACAGCAATTATGAAAAATATGGCTTCTTCATTACCCCTGGGGTCATTTTTCCAAGAACCCAATGGTTTTCCTTTAAATTTGACTAGTTTTTCATTTACATCATGAAATCCACTGCCTGATGGTGACATTTTTCAGTATCGTGTCAAGAAATTGAGTATTTTATTGCATATTGCGATTTTTAGCCAAAATCACTGAACCGTGAACAAGAAAATTGGACAAATTTGGCCCACTTTTTGGCAAAATCTTACTAAAATCATCACTTTTTCATACTTTATTCCATTCAACAACCTCCTGATTTGAAAAATGATGACAAATTTGATCAGTTTTGACTCTGGCCTAGAGAATTGGGACTTTTGAAATATTTTTTAGCTCGAATGTAGTCATTCAGAGTGAGCAAATACATCAAAAATTGACACTTAACTCACCAATTTCTGACTGCACCCCCGATATGTACCTTCTTTCTATACTGGAAACCATAAGATGGAAAATTCAATCTTTATGATGAATAGCAACTCGTTGGCTTCCCCATTTACGACAACAAATGACATTTAGGGGTCACTAAGGACAAAATTGTAGCCAAATATCGTCAAAATCAGTGTTTTTTGGGGTAAAAAGCGAAAACTGCTGATTCAGCAAAAACATTTAATTTGTTCATGAAAATTCCCCTTTTTGCCTCCGTCCAAAATATGTTTCACACTAATAAACTTCAATTCTGGGCGATTCTGAGTAGTTTTAAAAAATTTTGGTCACTTTCACATGTGACTAATATTGGATAATCACATTTATGCGTGCGCGCGCAGCTCATCCAATGAACGAAACGCCACTTCCCGCTGAAATCACCGGGTATTGATCTTTCCCTTGGTTTAACTACACTAAATCATTTGAATAATATATGTACCATATATTTAAGTTCGTAGCAAATGATACGTATTTATGACCCGATTAATAAAAATCAAACCATTGTCAATTTGAAATGTTGTCATGAACTTTTGCATCACTGCATACATTAAGTGATCATGAGTGCTTTTAAACACAGTGTTAAAGGTAAAGCCTAATTAAACAATGACACGGTGCCCTATACTAACCAATGTAAATTGTTCCGGACTTGTTTTTCACAACCATTTGGACTCATTTCGTAGGAGAATGAGATGAGACATTCATCAGAATGGCTCAAAAAGGTAATATAATTCAATCGTGAATGAATGGACTAGCACGTAAAAATTCTCATATATTGCTCAAAATTGATCTCCATGCAGCCCGACCCATCAACCCAATTATGGGTATTTTCGGAGAGGCGAGTTTTGAAATCCCTGATCAAAACATACCAAACTGATATTGAAAATATCGTGTCCTGTCAAATCAATTCATTATCAAACATGTCAGTGCACAAAATTAATTAATAATGAAAGTGTCCTAAATGTTGACAATTGATATAACGTGTTTGCTCAAAGAGATATATGTAATCCATCGTTAGGAGAATTTTAAGAAACGCCTAATGGCATGCAAAACGATGTCCAAAGATCACACTTTTATTCCAATTCGAATACAATAATCATTGCACAAAATAGAAGTGGTGGTCGTACTCTGTTTTCGAAAGGGAGAGGACATTTTATTTGTCCGCCACCATGGAGACTAGGACGCTAAGTACGGCATTGTGTGGTGTCGTCTTCTGTATTGCGTCCATTCTGGCGTCCCCGGCTTCAGGTAGGTATTTATGTCGCAATAGATGATGTAATTTGAATATAGTAAAGTAATTTGAACAAATTTTATTTAAAATGAATTTAATTACAATAATCATGACGCGAAAGACAAATTGAAAGCAAAATCTGCTTCGTGAATAATTTGAATATATTGATTTGGATGGTTTATATAAGACGTGTACAATTGATCTTTTTGAAATGGATTGTTCTAAAAATATGTACGATTGAGTTTGATATTTAAAGCACCTGTTATAAGAATATGTTATAATTCACTATATCGGAATATCGAATATGAAAATAAAAATATCCGATAATTTATGAATGATATGTTTGTCGATATCTGTAAGAGCTAGTCGAGAAAATATGCATAGTTAAATCAAGGATTAAATACTAAGAAAATCAAATGATATAATCAGTTAGATTTGGCTATGCTTGACAGTTCGCCGCAAAATAAATTACAGGTGGGGGCACATTTCAAATTGGAAGCAAAATTCACAAAAAAAATAATTTAAGACCCAATTTCTGATAATTTGGCCTAAAAAGGCCAGAAAGGCCAAGTAATGCCCAAAAAGGCCCACTTATTGAGGCGTTACAAAATTACTGGGCTCAATTTTTTCTGGGCCCCATGCCCCCCCCCGGATCCGCCAGTGATTATTAACATTTTTTTACATTTACGACTTCATGTCTGCCATTTCTAAATATGATCTAAACATTCACTGGTTTTGGGCATACAAATACAAAAAATTAGAAATGGCTTTCCAAACGATAACATAAGAATGAATTGCGTAAATTCAGGTAACCATGGTAATCAGTTGCCTGTAATTTAATCCACTTTAAAAGGTGACTGATCAGGCTGTAAAGTTGCCGCAATAAATTGCATCATGTTGTTTTTAATCATCATTTTTTTCTTTACCGCATTGATGACAAATATAAATACCAAGAGTTTAGAATTGTATAAATACGCATTCATCTGAACTGAAATTAAAAGATGGAATCGAAAAGATAATAGCGCAGAATTTAACTCTGTGTTTTCAAGAGTAAGGATTGTTATTATTGATTTAAACGACTGACATTTCATATCTTAAAATATATCTCAATCTCAATGCTAGAAAAATGGCTACTACTTTGGCATTATCTATCCAAATTGCGCAAATTAGGTTTTGAAAATCTGCCAAATTAAGAATCCGTTCAGTTTGGAATTTTCGTCCAATGCACTTCAGAAATTAAACTTCTGGACCCCCTTTTCCTGGCATCATGTAATATAATCAATTCTACATTGTTGCAAAAGAAATACAGAAAATATCTTATAGTAAATACCTGTCCTTAATGACATAAACATAGATATTAAATCGCATTAGAATAAGTAAATCTACAGTATCAACAGTTTGATATATGCATTGTTAGGTTGGTTATGCTCAACTGATTATAAGAAACATGAAATATTTTCTGAACCTATAGAAACCTTTGTTGATCATGTTTATGTATAAAACATAGTACTCCATCAAAAATTCAAAAATGTTTTAAACATATTTTTCAGGTGTACCTTCAAAAACAAAAATCAGAAATGGCTCATAAACAATAAAAATATATGAACAAATCGATAGTGAATTTTCTACTTACTCTTTCGTTCCGTCCATATGCAATTGATTCCTCCTTTCGCTATCTAGTAATCTAGCTACTTGATGGTGAACTTCGCAACTCATGGAAAAATGACATAATTAATACTATTAATTCACATCGTTAACATTAAATCTAATCATTTTTTGGGGTAGCAGCTGCGACCCAAGTAATACAGAAATGCTTGCTAGTTGCTACCACATACTTTTTATATCGATCTAAAGAAATCGACTAATTGAATCTCTATACAAATGTTGAATTTACATAAGTTTTAATAAAACACTTTTATTTTTTGTCGTAAACATAGTCTTTAGGCCTAGTGATTTGTCAGATGAATCGAAGAATGTATATTTGTTATTTCGTACAGAATGTCTATGATAAATATTGCATAAAATCTCAGATCGTCATAGCTTCTCAACGTGAGTTTACTCTCCCCTCAACAAATGTGGCAACTGTAGCTCCACAATGTCCACGTGGTCATTTTCCAATTTATTTGAGGTTCCAACATAAACGTAGGCATTAACATTATATCAAATAACGATTCGTTTCCCCAACTTATGGAGATGGGTGTACCTTTTCAATGAGTTTTACATTCACTCATTGAATTTTAATTTTGTTCAAAAAATCCCTCTCACCATGCGTTCTCATCAACGCGAGGCATTTGGATAAATTTACTTGTATAAGTAGTTAGGAGGTTGACGTGTTAGTGGGAAATTAAGTCAAAGTTTTAATAGTTCAGACACTTCCGACAAAAAGGATTCTTAAATCGCATAATCCAGTGCTCAAAAAGGTTATGGAGTGGAGTGTAGGCCTATAAAATACATTTGTGATATTCCCTTTATAAAATCCCTCTCGATGAATAATTAACTTCTTTTATATCGCATTGATCACGAAGTTACTCTGGACAATATGCTTAACTCCGTAAGAATGATATTAAATGTAAAGTACATGTAGGCTATCTGTGGACAGATCTCCCAACATGAAATCAACCACCTGTTCGTATAACCTTTTCAAATGTGAAAATGTGAAATGCCACACTGTTTGATTGCTTATAACTCGTGCTTTGTAAAGTCATTAGTAAGTCCATAGTTGTTTGTAAAATTTATTTCATAACATGTATTTCTCTTTTTTTCGCAAAATTACTAAAATGACGTCATGTGCGATTTTTGTCGTAACAAAATATGTAAACAAACATAATCACGGGGGATAAGCAAAACGAGGGCGAAGCCACGGACTGCGACTCGCGTAATTCAAAACGAGATCACAACGCATTATAGCTGAACAATGGCGGTAAGTCCAAACTTAATTTGGAAGGCATGTTAGGATTTGGGGTAGATTATTGGTTTGGATATTCTACAGAATAGCTAGTATGTTCCAGTCGGTGATCAACATATTCATACTCCACCTGCAATGGCATTCTTGGTGCTCGGCTGTCCAATAGTTTAGCATGAACACAAATGAATTCGAAATCTGCCACAAAAAATGTAATTTTGTCAATATTTGTCCCTAATATACCGATTTAAACAAAGGAATCAGAAATTACATCGAATTAATATAATTATTCATGTTCTGTTGTTACAATTACATCTTCGTGTGATATTTGGTAAGCGGAAAACGTACAATTACATAGACAATTGGAATTTTTGATAGTCGCAGTCCATCCATCTGTCAAACGCAGTCCGCGACTCAGTGTTGCTTTATATCTGAAGCTGAACGCAATCACAGCCAAAGGTAGATAGCACAATGTGTGTACAGGTGTGGCCGAAATGGAGCAACTTTGGACAAAATTGAATATAAAGGGCTATTTTAATAGACCTACATCGTGTCTCAATCCATTCTGCAAATATATACAAGCTGTCAAATACAGCTGAAATCATGAATTTATGGTAGCTAGCAATATTGATGGACTGTTGGAAAGATCATCCAAAATTACATTAACTCACCAACTCTCCAATTATTTGATATTTTCCTGATATCTTAAATACTAGTTAATGTATCCTTCCCCAACAGCTTTTATTGCATCATCAAAATGTTAATTGTTTCGCATTTCTACTTCTTATAAAAAGTCTCACCACTATCAATTATCTATATATTTAACCCTATCCACAAATTGGTTTGTAATAAACATATTACGTTGTCATCTTGCGCTCGACTGTTCTGCCAAATATGCTATTGAATTGCCATATTTCTAGGTCTTAAACGATACAATATAGCAATTTAGGACATTGATTCAGGTAATAGATATATGTTAATCAACGTAACTTTGAATGATAATCTGGATGCTGACTTTCTTTTCCTGAAACAATAATAGCGTAGGAATATAGTTTACACTTTCTTATTTATTTCGTGTTCGCGGCTGGACTGCGTTGCTTAGAATATCAATGGAGGCTGTGTTGCGTTGTTGAAATAGCTTTGTTTACTGGACTGCGTCCACTATGAATGCGCAGTTTGAATCTAATTTTCTCCTCATGAACACATTCCATTATCAAATCATTTTCACGAATTATACTCGGAGCCTCAACTAACCTTTAGATATCAGAAACGTGTTAAAACTCCTTTCAAGTGTATAGTAAATTAAATAATATGCACATATTTTACAGGTAAAATCAGAACTTTGCTACTGTTTTAGCTTGATCTGGACAACTGCTTATTTTCTTATCTACAGACCAACAGTAGATACAGAGTAATATTTTGGTCACCGATTAGACACTACGATAGCATTTAAAATTCCTGGATTTCTCTATTTTGTCGGAAGAAGCAGAAGGCACTGCCGGATGTCCCTCCATTTTGGCGCTGGGCTGCGGTGTAAAGTTACGCGAGTCGCAGTCCGTGGCTTCGCCCTCGTTTTGCTTATCCCCCGTGATAATATGTATTATGACGTACACGAACCTGGGGACAATTCGGGAAATACGGGTTAATCTCAGCTTTGAGCGTTAATCTCTGCCTTATTTAAAAAGCTAACTATTTTTTATATATCATTCTGATGTATTTTTTATTTGCATTTCTGTGAAATTATTTTTCCTTAAAAATTTTGATGGGATCCAACGTTTTTTTAAAGTTAATATCCCGACATCGTCAAATACGCTGTAAGACGTAACACTTTACGCTTACAGTGCTCATTGAAATTGGGATAACTTTTGAAATAATGATCAAAAGCCCACTAAAATTTCACAATTTGTTCATTTATGACGTCACAATTGCTTAACGGCTCCAGCTCAAATTATCTTATATGAACCCTTTTAAAATTTTCAAAATTGTGTAAGGTTTTGAAGGCGAATGGGACGAGCAATAAGTTTACCTTCATTTAACCTTCTAATTTAAGTCTGATTTGAAAGAAAAATTAACTGCACACTATTGTCATGGCGAGATTTCCAAAACAATAACCAGTTTGTTTATTTTGCAAATAATATTACAATAAGAGCTGGTTTTCGAGACTTGAAAAATATGTGACGCATCGATTTTTACCACAAATTCCATACATATCAATTTTTTACCTACGCCCCAAGTTGATTCCTTGACTGTTTTTCAAAATTCAAAAACATTTTAGAAATATTGTCCTCGAGATCTTGCTACCCTGTGAATTTTATCATGATTAGATAAGGATAAAGTATTTTATTTTTAGGTTGACCAATCTTTACAAAAATATGACGCTTGTCGTTTTTGACGTTGTAAGGGCCGGCTATATGCTGCTCATTGTTTTGTCTTGGTTTTTGACGCCATAATGTTACGCTAATTGACCCCAGTTTCGTGCGACGTGTAGACTTTTAATAAAACAATAATCACTGGTGATTCACTCGATTGTACGCTTGTTACCGAAACGGTAACAAAATGTTGTAAGGAATGGATTGGTAAGAACATGTTATCGTGTTTCACATGGTCAATTTTTATTTGATCCATGACTTCATCAATTTTCTTTTTTAGAAAATGGCAACTGTTTTAAGGCATTGGGCATGCGCACTCGAGAGATTCCGGTTGAATGGATATCAGCGTCATCGACAGCTTCTGGACTGACTCTGGACAATATGAGGTTTAGAGGTATGTCAGTTCACTGTCTTGTTGGCTCGTTTAAGCCTCTGATCTGTTCACCCCCCCCCCCCCCCTTCCATTTCCAGCTCAGTTGCACAATCAGGTGAACATAATGCTTAAATAGTTAAATAAAAAAAGTTGATTATCATTCATATTTTATTTATTTTAGTGTTCCCAGGGAAACCATGGTGTCCAGCCAGTGGCAAAAATAGGGATGCATTCGTGCAGGTGTCATTTCCTCAACCTGTACGGATAACAGGGGTATACGTGGACGGGTTTGCTAACAGAGATAGTATCTCAAGCTTTACTATTAGAGTTAATGACCTGAACACTGTTAACGGAAGATGGAGAACACTGAGTAACAACGGGATTCCATCGGTAAGTCTGGCGAATCGATTTTATATGCAAGCTTAAACTCCCTAATATTTCAAAAAGGGATTTAACGTACAAGTTGATTCCAGCAGCACATACACTTGACGTATGCCCGTTGCCAGCGGCCCATTTTTGAGGCCCTACATAATTTTTTATGTTGCTCATACACAGTAAGGCCCAGATAGGGCAGCTGTAAAAACATAGGAAACGAGGAAAATGCAAATAAGGACAATAGAAGAAATTATAGCAAAATGGATAGTTTATTAAGAAGGAATCACAACCGCGAAATAAGGACGATTGCTACATTTTTAAATATTGATCATGTTCAATTGAATGAAAGAAACATGTAATACTAGATATAGTATCTGAACCTATTGAAATTGTATGCATACTTGGTACTGTAAGTAAAAAGTTACTAATATCTGTTGATGAAGATGATAACCTATCTATTGTATTGTATTGTATTGTATTGTATTGTATTGTATTGTATTGTATTGCATTGTATTGCATTGCATTGTATTGCATTGCATAGCATTGTATTGTATTGTATTGTCATCGTATTGTATTGTATCATATTGCATTGCATTGCATTGTATTGTATTGCCATCGTTGTTTTGTATTGTATTGTATTATAGTGCAGTGCAGTGTAGTATACTCCATCAAAAGTCCAAATAACTGCTTTCAACATATTTTTCAGGTGTACCCTCCATTTATCACGGCCACATTTCCTGGAATTACCACCGACGCCATCCAGATTGTACCTAAAACGTATAGAGGGCGCCCATGCATGAAACTAGAAGTGTACGGCTGTGCATCAAGTAAGAATCGTTTGTTATTTGTGTGTTTATAGGGTGAGGGTCCATGCTCAAACACGAGTACTCATGCAGTTTTTCGGAGGTTTTAAGATGAATATTTAGAGTTGTTCTTAATTTCCTCTAATATCTATTTTCATAAGAATATATGCATCGTCCCGTGTACGATGTGTTTGACTCCTAATTAGTCAAATATTGAAGAAATGCATGAGAAATAACAAACTAATTGAAAATAGTGCAAAACTTCTAACCGTAAAACTGATGATGATCTGGTTTTCTGTATCGCATATATATGACTCGAGCATTGTTATAAAGGGATATTTCGATTTTCTCCAATTCACGCATTTTATGTTACTGTCTTCATCAACATTGCAGATGAGCGTCATCTATTGGCAAATAAACTAACCGCCAGGGGTTATAACGTTGACTGGAACGATCTCAAAGATGAAGACATAGCAAAGATTTTGATTTGTCTTGATGCATTATTTATATTTGAATTCTGTGAACCATACAGTTAGGTGGCATTCTTTATTCCAACGTTTATTGCATTTCAATAGACTAGGTGCGAGTAGAAATAATCAGTCAAAGTGATGCCATATTTGAAATCTGCATGTAAAAGTACAAGGTGTCCCGAAAGTATGCCCCCCCCCCTAGGCAAACAATGTAATTTTGTAACTTTGGATAAGCTTTAAAATGATATATGACACATACTATGACGACACTGGTATATGTCTGCCTAGGGCGGGGGCATACTTTCGGGACACCCTGTACATCTAGAAATATGGTTTCGAAAATTGTTTATCAGCTTTGAAAATTCAATTCTTTTTGAAAATGCGACTTCTTGTTCGGGTTGATTCCCCATAGACCCCATGATACAAAATCACAAAAAGTGAAATATATTTTCTTGTATTGGACAGATAACACTTTCTTTTACTGGACATATTTCAATTTGCATAACTGTTAGATACATAAGGGTTATATGAAAATTGAACCATTAAAGCAGATGTGATTTAAGTTAAAGGGAACCTTCCACTATACCCGCCATGCTATCTGACCCGAACGGGCCACTTGGTGGTGAATCTGGTAACTACCTACTCGCATCTGCGTTATCTAGAGTACTTCAGAATTGCTTAAATCGCATTCGACTCAGGCATGAACCCCGCCAAGAGCAGCACTGTGTCCATCAGTCCATCTCATAGTTCGTTGAAATTACACATAGGCGCATTTATATGTACTCTGTTAAGTAAGAGGACATTCTAATGAATAACGATTTCTCAATAGCAATTGTTTTGAAAACATATCATATGAAAGAGAAAGGCAAGTAGAACCCAAAAGTAGTAAATGACGTATCATAGCGAATCCATACTGCAGTACGACTAGTAAGTATGGACAGGGCATTGCGTGCAGCAGTCACTTATATTTACTTCCTGCGAAAGCTATTGGATTTTGATATAATAGACTGTAAGCCATTCTGTACAAGTGCTCTAGAAATGCAACCTTCCTTACATGAAAGGTTACACATTCCAACCTATTTCAAACCATCTGTATGATTAAACTGGACACTTTCTGGGTAGTTGGACTTTCCATAGGGGTGGCAGACGGCCCTCAGACCAATTAATACCCCTACCCCCAAAAAACCATGGGGGTACTTTAATACCACCCAATAAAAAGAATACTAATGCATGTCAGATATTCATTGTTTTATATTGGGTAGGGCATGTTATGGTTAATAAGTGCCAGAAATTTCTAATCTCTAACTTATATGGTTACCATAGAAACAGTATTTATATCTCGAAATATTCTCAATTTGACCCCCTCCCAAATGTGTCCCATTGTTCTTTAAGTGAAATATTTGCAAATCTGTTTGGATTTTATGGCTGCTACTTTGTCAAAATTTGTAATATTATGTCTACATTAACACTAAAACACTTAAAAGTTGATATAATGATCCTGTAAATCAATAATATTTATCAAATATAGTCACACATAGCTGCTTTCAGGGAAAAGTGGGCGTGGCACATTTAGGTACTTGTGCGCTTGTTGCAGCATTAAATGAAAAATGCAGATTACACTAACAATAATTGACATTTAATTAGCATCTACTAATGTTGTGTAACATTGTAATATGTTCATTATCATTATTAGACACTTTAAATATTTTATATAAGTGTTATCCTGACCCTTCCCTATCATAGGTCATCAATGGTCAAATGAACTTTTAGTTTAAGTCTTATAGGGTCCTCTGTCTTTTAAGCCTGTCAAGAGTCAAGTCTTACTTATTCATTGACTTGTTCCTAGAATATGAATGAATAAGTTCAAGTCATCTAGAGCTATTCAAGTCATCTATGCTTGTTCAACAATGTTCAATTTTTAGAACCATTTTACCATGTTTACTGCAATTGAAAAGTAATGAACAGTTCAATCCTTTTGGTATGATATTTGATGCTAGTGTGAATTGCATAACATTTATGATTAAACTTAAATGAACTAATTTAACTCTGGCTATTAACCCTTCCCTAGTATCCTTCACATAACCTCTAAATCATCTTCATATCCAATGCCTAAATGGGGAAGGAGGGATGGGTTACAAATAGAGACCGAGGATAATTTGAATCAAAGCAAGAAGACGTAATACTCAAAACTAGAAAGATTGGAGACCATTTATACCCTTCCTAATATTTTGCCTAATACATAACACTAAAATCTATTTTGTCAGACACTTGCTGATTCTTTTATCAATACCTCAACATCAGGCAATGCATGATCTATCCAATGGATTAAAGATTATGCTTGATTCTAATATGGCAAAATTAATTTTTCGTATGAATTGCATAGAGCATCATTTTGCAGTTATAATAAAATGCATCCATTCATTCATTGGCTCATAGTTAACAAAAAAGCTATTCTCTGGAAGGTACAGTATAATTTCTATAGCAAAATAATTGCAAGATGAACAATTTACACATGTTTCTGATATGCTGTATTTTCAATGATTCCTTCAATAGTGGTTCGGTATATGTTTTTGAAATACTTCATATAATTCCTAAACAAATCGGTTTAGTGTATGAAATCAAAGTTGATACATTTGTCCCATACTTGGATATGTTTCAGATACATATAGCAGGTTTATAAATACTTATATTTTCATCAGCGGGCAGATATAGCTAATGTCCCTGCCCGAGAGGGCAGATATATTACACCTGCCCACTAAGTCATAATCATCATTTGTGTATGATTAGCAATGAGGGAAGTAGCATACTTAATACATATGTTAATAATCAATGATTCGAGAATTTGTGGATGAATACTTAAAAAACAGGAGAATCCTCCTAAGGCCAAGAAAACAAAATTAGTCATGAATACATTCATGTGGTTGTATTCTTTCTAATTCTGACCAATTGAACAATGTGAACCAGATAAGAAAGATTGATATGGGATCCTATAGTCAGTTCATGCTATTAGGATTATCCCTTGGCAAATATAATATATCTTCCCTCAGGACCTAAGGCCTTTGGCCAATAGAAAATATCTTACCAGATATATTATATTGGCCTCGGGATAATTCCAATACTCTGAACCTCATAGAGGATAATCTTCATCTTCATCAATTATTATTATACATATAAATCGGGATATAAATATAACCTAAAGTAAGAAATCACATTCTCTAGCCAGTAATATTTAATTTTAAAATTGGTAAATGATGATTATGTCACAATAGAATTGATGACCATGATTTATTTGAGAATAAAACAGACAAAACAAAGGCTAACAAAAATCTTTAAAAATTTGGGTAAAACATAAATATTTTAAAATTGCTTGTTTTTCATCATTATTACTTCGATCTCCAAACCCCAAAAATGGAGTGTTACAAATTGTTTCAAGTTAAAGTATGCCTAATTTCATGAGCAAACTAGTAATCTTGTTGGATATTTTTCCTCGACAATGCCTTATCTAATTCATCTATATACAAGCTACTATATTCCAAATGCTATTTTACAGGATGGGTGTTCATGAAAGTAACACTAAACATCAATTTTGTCATAAACTGAACAATGCAGCTAATTGATTCTCCCATCTAAGCAACAGAGCCTCTTTTAATATATTGTAATTTCAAAATTGCCTCTAATGAAGTTCTTCAATCAAATCTAAAATGGACACAACTGGTAATATCTTTATACCATATGAGTAGAATGTTTGTTTCTTTCAAATTCATGCTTTCGTTAGAAACATGGATATCACTAATTCATAGTTTTGATTCATATTTAAAATGGTGTGCATTATATATGAGGTTTAATTAATGGGAAGTTTTTAATACAGGGAAATACAATATATCTGAGGGAAATACAATATACCTCCCCAAAGGGGTTGAGGGTAGAATATTGTATTTCCCAAGGGTTATATCTTGTACCCAAAATTATTTATCATATACTAATATACGAAAATATGAGAAATTGCACAGAATGAAATTCCTGCAGGGAATTACTGAGCAGGTGATAAACCTGGCGATACATAGAGATTATCCTATATGAGGTTCAGGATATTGGAACTATCCCGATTCAAATATAATATATCTGCCCAAGGGCGATTATGACGGAGTGGGCAGATATACTATATCTGCCCGCTCGCAACAGAACGTAAAGCTATATCTGCCCGCTGATGAGTACATAAGTTTTTACAAACCTGCTTTATGTACCTGAAACACGACCAAGTATGGGATAAAGCGGGATATGCAGTACATGTATATCCCCACTCACCTAAGGTATCAATTATATTCATGCATTTTATTTACCTATAACACTAAGTATAGGATAAATAACTTTTACTGACAAATTATATAAGTGCATGATTACATTAGTCACAACTACTCACTAAAAGGTTAACTTATTGCATGAAGAAATGTAATTCTTCATGAAGATTTCAAATATGATATCACTTATTTGACTGAATTTTGAATTTTTAATGATGTAAAGCAAGATTATTTCTACTTGCATCTAAGTCTATTTCATTGTATAAGTCAACAATTAATAAGGCAAATACATATCACTGGCTTCCCTGATTCATTTAGATTCCTTGCACTTTTAAAATCATCAATAATTCATATAGGGTTGAACTATCGAATAATGAAAACGTTGCAAATGATGTGATAGAAGTTTTTATACTATTTTGCTTGGAAATATTGCTGATATAGTTTTAATGTGATTTTAGGAGATTAAATGTTCTACTGAGGAACTTTGATTATGTTCAATTTTCTATGATCTTTAACTTTCTGAAAAAAGGTTGTGCTAAATTCTCATTGAGACGATGTTAAAAATCTTAATGTTGACTTCCTAAATGTTGAATTCTTTTGATTGTCATGAATTTAAGGTTCACACAAAATCTGAAGATCATCTAGTTTCAAACACAATCTGAATCTCATTAAGTTTGATGCGAAAGCAGTTTTACTTTAATCCAAAATAATAAGTATGGTAAATCAATATGTGTCTATGGTAGATGCTAGCGTGTAGTCCAACCAGCACAAGTGCTGCCATCTACCTATCCATTCATCAGTTTAGCACCTAATAAGGTCAGTACTCATGGTAAAGCTTTTGTACCTTGTCTATGGTAAAAATAAATCAAACAGAAATGTTAACTTGACACGATTGGTAATGCCCACCTTGAAGCGTGTAGGGATAAAGGGAAGGGTCAGGATAACACTTATATAAAATATTTAAAGTGTCTAATAATGATAATGAACATATTACAATGTTACACAACATAGGTAGATGCTAATAAATGTCAATTGTTGTTAGTATAATATGTATTTTTCATTTAATGCTGCAACAAGTACACACGTACCAAAAAGTGTACATCATACAGATGGTTTGAAATATGTTGGAATGTGTAACCTTTCATGTAAGGAAGGAGTTACAATTATCAGAGTGGGCCGTAGTCTATAATAGCTTTCCCACGGAGCATTTGGACAGCTCAATGATCGTGACCTTTGAAATCGAATTAAGTCGATCCGCGGCTTACTTTTGGTCTCTAACTGTGTCTTACATTAGTATCATCAATCCGTGTAAGTATCGGAGCGCTGGAGTACTTCTTTTTCGATCAAGACTTGTAATTGTTAGTCGAGTGAATCGTTTTACTGCCAAATTCCAATATGGCGGTTTCTGCTCGGACATTTTCGTAAATCTCCGGAGGTTGTCCGAACCTACTAATTCTCAAAATTCATTTCGTTCGTTGCGTATCTCGCACCTAGCAAACCGCCATATTGGAAATAGGTCTAAAAAACTTTCACTCGATGAACAATTTACAAGTCTTGGTCGAAAAAGAAGTACTCCAGCGCTCCAATACTTACACGTATTGATGATACTGATGTAAGACACAGTTAGAGACCAAAAGTAAGCCGCGGATCGACTTAATTCGATTTCAAAGGTCACTATTGATGAGCTGTTCACTTCTCCGTTTGAGAGCCATAAGTTTCAAAATCTAACATGGCTCTCGAAGTGAGTAAACTTATATGTGATCCGATGAAGAAAGACGTCTTATGCTTCCTTCTCGCTCTTTGCGCGAGCGTAGTGTAAACATATGCGTAAATAGATAAAACAAAATCCGTTGCTATGTTTTCTAGAGACATGGGTAACCCCAACCATGCGTCCAACAACTACGACTAGGAGACCAACGACAACAACTCGTAAACCGACGACGACAACTCGTAAGCCTACAACGACAACTCGCAAGCCTACAACGACAACTCGCAAGCCCACAACTACAACTCGCAAGCCTTCAACTACAACGCGTCCGACTACCACCACAAAACGTACGACAACGACTAGAAAACCAACTACCACAACTACTCTTAAGCCTACCACAACTGTGAAGTTGCCGTCTCGTTGTACAGGTACTTATAATCTGTACATGGATAAATCTTCGTTTCGTAGCCTTTTATTGTAACTTTTTAGATTAAGGAAACAATTGTAAATAGGCACCTGGTAAATGAACTAATTGAGAAAGGGACAATTTAGTCTCCGAATAATGTTACACGTTCATGTTCAAGTTCAAATATTTGTAAATTGACCTCTCTGAACTCTTTCAATGGGACTTTGTCAATGCTACTAAACGATGGGACAGTGTGTTTCATAAATATGCACGTCAAATTAAAAGTATCTCTTACAAATCTGTGGAAGTACAGTATACTGTAGAATAGTGTAGAGATTAACCAGGAATAGTCAATATATGATCAGCATATGGGTGACGTAAAGTTTATACAATATGTTTATTTCATGATTTTGAAGCCACTTCCAGTTCCATATCTCGCATATTTTTTTCATTTATTACTTTTTTCATCAAGTATAATTCAAACTGTATAGCGTTTCCCGAGTTACGTATTCCGAAGATAGATGGCGACGTAAGCGGTGAAACAACGTACTTGACGTGTACGTTAGACCTCACTGACCAGAGGAATGTGCAGCTTTTAGTGACGTGGTATCATAATGGCATGGAGGTCAGAAGACAATGGTTGGATAATAACGTGAACCGCGGACGATTGGATGTTTCCGGGGACTTTAAGAGATGGAAAACCGGTGATAAGGTACATAGTGCTTCATTATGTTATAACAAGAAGAGGTAAATGCATGGACCTCTCTCGGATAGAGCTCCGTGCAAAATGGAAGTGTCATTGATGTTATTGATGTTTAAGTGTAATATTACGACCAACTCGAGTATTATGATCATTAGCTATCATTGAGCACTTGTTTCGGCAATAGAGCAAGCACTCAAAAATAAAGTACGCCTATTATGATTTTTACACGTATACAATAATGCAATTACTCATAATTTATTCAACAGTATCAATTTTTACATCAGTTGTAGTATCGTTTTGGTTAGACTCAAAGAGCATTTGTACCCAAAGAAAAAATGACAATCTACCCATACAATCACAAAGTGTCACAAGTGTGATGGCATAATTAACGTTTTATGGAATAAAAGCATGCATACAATACATATCGAGTACAAGTCGTATTTTATATTTCAGTTTACCTGTAGCACGAGTGGACGCTTTGTAGAAAGAACATGCACTGGTCCTACAAGTCAGGCCACGACAAGTCTACCACTAGTAGCCGAAATAAAGGTAAGTGCAACTAAAGCACTAAACTTTTATAATTGTAGTCTGGTGTAAGTAGCCAAGGCCATACGTCCAAAACTACGAAAGTCATAGTTCGGTTCCAGATAACGTTTATTGGATTGATAGTTTTGGATATTGGGGATTGGTTATCCTTATCATTATTTTGGCTCACCTGAGTTTCTTTTCTTTGTGTATGTTCTCATGCGCTTTTGTCTTTCCCTTTTGGCTTGTATATGTGCATTCCAAGCGTTCATTCTCTACTATTTCTCTACAGGTGACAAATCCAGGAAATATTGTGATTGAAGAGGGAGGTGATAGCAAAGACATCACAATAGAAATCACAGCCCCTCCGTTGTTCTTCTGCAAATCTGCGTATGAGATTGAAAAATGTACGCTACAATTTGACGTCAGCGTGGAGAAGGTACGTCAGGAGTGGAAGTGCCGTAAACGTACCGTTATCTCGCAGGCTGTGATTGGTTGGAATGGACGACCGGAGGATGCTTTCTGCGGGGTCGTAGTCACGGAAACTACCTATCAACGATTGATTAGGATCCCGATACGCGCTAAGATTGATTTTAAATACGACAGGAATCAACAGCGTGTCGTCTGGATTGAGGCCGCTCACAAAGTTGCTGGCAATGTTGTTCGAGTGGAAAAAATCAAACAAATTTCTGTAAGTTAAAGGACTTTAGTTATGGGTGTTACATTAAAGATTTTTCACTCTTTTCTGAGGGAGATCGGTGATATCAACTCCTTGAGGGAATAAGCTATTCACTATACAATACCCATCATTAGTTTGGAAAACGTTACCCATTGGTCTACTTGTAAATACAATTCACACATGTATTTCATACCTACTAAGGTTCTAGGTAAATAACGAGCGGGAATATATACTGTATCTAGGGATCTATCACTGAGGAACGGGGCGGGATGGATACAGCCTGCCCCTCGGGATTTATCCCTGCGGTCCCTCGGGATATACACCCTATATTTCCCTTGGGATAAACCCTGTATCCAAAACCTCTCAATACATTACCCTTATATGTGCAACAGGCTGTATGGCACCGGCTGTAGTACAAGAACAGTATCATCCGCCAACACTGCAATAGCTACAATTTATTGAAAACAATTCGAAATATGTGTCCATTGATTGATGAGGTATATCATAACGATTACGTTTCATTTTCAAAAATCGACCCTCAAATGCCAACAAATGTGAAACTATCGATTCATGATGAATATGTTTCGCACAACGCATCTCGTTTTAAATGAACTACTCGTAAATCTAGTGAATGCGTTACTGATTCTCGATACGTTAAGGCCCGGTCACACCGCAGCATATCGCGTTTGACTTCTGGGAAATTATTTCAAGTGGGAAGTGTTTAAGAGTAAAGACATTTATTGGAATTTGTAACTTTAACAAAAGTCCTTCAAGGATTAAAGAAGAAATGTTTTAAATCTAAAGTGCTTCTATTAATGTAATATGACATTAAGAATGAATAACATTACAATTTTCTTTAATAATCTCTCATATCATTTCAAACAAACATATCACAATTTAATCGTTGTATTTCCATTACTTGGAACCGATTTACGTTCAAATTGCTTTAACAATGTCAAATAACATTTACAGCAAAGTAATAATCATGACGCATGACAAATTTTTGCATTGCTGTGCGCGCATCAACTTTTTGTATAATACCATGACGAGTGCAACATTTTACAAGCTGCGCAGAAAATTCACAGATAATTTATTGAATTGCTTGACGTGAAAGCACTAGGTATATACTATATTTGAATAAAGGTCTCAGTAAAAGTCTATTTGTATTAACATTTAATGAAAAACAAAAATCGCATAATTCACCTTTTTAAAATCCAAAATCACAAACTTTGAACGCTTAATTTAGGAATTTACAATGCAAAAAATTGAAATGCCAGACATGAATATATATCAAATGTAAAATGCACAAGTGTCTCCACAGTGTTCTACACAGTGGTGCATTTCTCCACGTATTTATAGCCAACTTCTGGTCCCGCTCCGACACCTCTATACCAACGCCAAAGCAAAGTTCATCGCCGCCGTGGAACGCTGCGACAACGTCCGACACCGTTCCAAAAACCCCATGTACGCTGATAAAACGCTAACAACCGCTCCACCGACGTTTGTGCAACGTTTAATCGCCGCCCGGGCAACGCTGGTGAAGCAGCGGTGGTCCAGCTTTTAAGATTTCTGCGTTGGTCTAGCGGATTCAAGCGTCCACGAACTTGCGTCTAGCGGTGCCAAACTTTGACTGGGCGTTGGTGGAGCGGTGATAAACTTTGCCAGGGCGTAAAATTGTCCCTTTTTCAACGCTCGCAATATTTTGAGCAGCTCAAAACTTTTGGAGCGTTAGGATGGCCACTCGAGAAACATCCGCGTTGGCCGAGCGTTTACAGCGTTGCTTTAACGGATGCCAACTTTGGTTAAACGGTGGTGAACGTTTACGAGCGTTGATGATTTTTTTCAACGTTCAAGGAACGCTCCAGCAACGTTTAGGCGGTGTGACCGGGCCTTCACATGCTAAAAGCGTTGTGCGAAATTAAACCTCTCTATCGTTACTTTTATCAATTCTTACTTTCTCCAGGTGGCCATTATTGATCGTGACAGGAAGTCACAATGCAGATCAGTAAATGACCCTCACTTGACGTCATTTGATGGAAAGTAAGACCTAGTTTTATTCGAATAATTGTAAAAGATCAGGTTCTACATAAACCTTGTTATCCATAAGGTAATAGGTAACTTTTCGAGAGCAAGATATAGGCCTAACTTTTTTCATAAATACCTCATACAAACAGATACAGGGCCTACGTCGAAGCATTATTGGCCCTGTTAAAGTAGTTACAATATTGGTTAAAATAGGTCACAATGTAAAAATGGTAGATATAAAACCTAATCTGTGAATCAACTGATCCAGAAGTGAGAGGTTAATCGTTTTAAGATTTCATGTTGACTGTCATTTATTGTAAATTAATTCAGACTACGTTATTTTATTTTCACCACCATCTCAGCTACACTGGTGATCCACTCGATTACGCTGGTTACCAAAACGAATCGTTTTGGTAACAAAATGTCGGAACGTCGAAGGCACGATTTTTCTTTTTTCCTTATTTCACGCGTTGTAGGCAGAATCCCCACGACGTTTTTTCTCACAACATGCATCAGTATCATATGTTTTAGAAAATGTACATGTTTGCGATAAAATAGCTCAGAGGACAACAGAATCGTCGATTTACTTCCTCACTTAAGTTACATAAACGGTTTTTCGAAAAACAGTTAAGATCTGCACTTTTAACCCAAACCGTTTATGTAACTTAAGTGAGGAAGTAAATCGACGATTCTGTTGTCTTCTGAACTATTTGTTCGCAAATATGTACACTTTCTTAAACATATGATACTGATACACGTTTGTGTTAAAAAATGTCGTGGGAATTCTGCCTACAAGTGTAAAATAAGGAAACGAGAAAAATCGTACCTTTCGGATGTTCCGACATTTTGTTACCAAAACGATTCGTTTTGGTAACCAGCGTAATCGAGTGGATCACCAGTGAGCTACAGACAGGTTAGATGCCCTAAAAAGCGACATAATACGATAACACTTGCTCAGATCACAATTAATATTGTTTAGCGTATTTCCACATTATTGAAGGGAATACTATGTTTGTCTAATGAGTTTATTATTTCAGACGATTTGACAACATGTTGGTTGGAGAGTTTTACATATATCGCCACAAGAGTCTTCCCTTCCAAGTGAGTAAACTTATATAGGCTTCTAATAATTATGTTGTACTTTAAATGTACCCTATTTTCCTGATTGGAGAATATTTAGCCTCAATATCGAATACAGAAAGCCTAAGTTATCAGAATTTGATTAATTACAATTTTCAGATTCATGGGTTTTACACGAAATGTGGCCGTAGGGGTAGGGCTTCGTGTAACTGCGGCGTGGGTATCAAGTCGGGTGATGACGTCATCATGCTAAGTAGGTGCCCCAGACCAAAGCCGCCGAAGAAGCCTGGTGGAGTCTTTGACTGGATTTTCGAATACGAGAAGTTGAAACTTAAAGGAAAACTTGGGTACAAAATCCTCGGAAAGAAAGGTCTTACATGGGCTCTAATCACCGGAAGTAGCAAGAAAAAACCTCCCCTTGAACTGAAGATGTTCAAAAATGGAGAACTGACTTCGGGCACTAAGATCTTTAGTTTTAACAAAGGAAATAAATATGAGGTATTCGGGTACTTAATTATGTATATCATCCAAGCTTTTTGCATTCGTATAGCCTTGACATTTAGTAAAACGTGCTGATCCCCCTTTAAAGCTGAAAGGGTAATTGACTTTTGCTTAAAATGCCAGTGAATTTAACTGCCCTCTATAAATAAAATTTATGCATTTTAGCATGTGTACCTTTCAAAAATAATTTAATACCAGATTATTCTTGTCAATGCAATTCAATTAATGAAATTATTGCCACTTCAGGTCCATCTTCCCACTGGTCTCTATCTCACGGTCACCGTATCAGGGAAAACACACGTCAACATCTACGTCAACCCTTCCCCCATTGATTTCAAACAATCTGAAGGTAAGATTTAACAACAGTAGTAAAGTATGTCCATGTCGGCCCAAGTTGGTATCAGCGGGTCCATATGGAACCGAGTTAAAGCCTCAGTCACATGTGCTCTTAGGCGGTCGTAGCTTACCAAATAAAACTGCTTTTATCCTGCATTTTCTCTCGATTTTATGAAGCTACGACCGCCTTGCGTGTGTTGTAGATAAAATGTGACGGAGGCATAAGGACTGAGTGGTCTTTTTGTAAAATGTTCTGAAGAAGACTTGATATTACAGGTCACGGAAATTTTAGTAATTCTAATAATAATCACATCTTTCTGTATCACTAGTATAGCGACAAACTCGGATATGATTACACTTCATTGTATCCGAGCTAGTAGTCATATGGTTGGTGAAAGTTACAACTGTCATAATCATGTGTTGATAGTAGTCAATGTCCATACCTTTAAATATATTGTTTGAATAACCTGATATCCGTAATTTTAGGTCTTTGTGGTTTCTACGATGGTAACCAACGCAACGATCTAATGATGCCTGATGGTAGCATACACCGTCCTCCGAGGAAGCAGGCCAGGCGACCCGATGTTTTCAATAATGCTTGGAGGTGTGAATGAGATGCAGTGACTTACTCTACTCATTCTGGCTACCAAATCTAAAAACAAAAAAGTTGAAATCAATTCTTGCTTAAAGCCTTATGACCTGTACACATCTCACCTCAACAAGGGGGTGGTGTAAAGAAATATAGTGGGAGATCGAGGTCTAGAGTCTTATGCAACAGTTAACGGAAATGATGTAATCAACAACAAAGTTTGAATTGTTAAAGCAACTTGTCAATGTCTCTGCAGTAGCTAGGAATTTGGGTATAGTAGTAACACTAAGCCACGGCAGTCCTTGCTATTTCTAGAAATAAATGAATATCCAATCCTTTGCTGACATCTTTTTAGGGTGCCACGTTCTGACAGTATATTTAATGGGTGTCGACGTGGAGCGAACTATCGTCCAAAACATAGCACTTACTGTAACTGTATCCGGGCCGCGAAGGGAGAATGTGGGCAGAGATTCGATGTTGAGACGTGTGATATTGCCCATGGTGGTAAGTATCTAAATCTAACAATGTAACATGAACGCTGTGGCTTGTTCTACGTGAATTCGAAGTGGTTGTCGATTTTTCATATGGATTATCACTGTTGCAATAAAGAAAAACATGAAATGAGTTAGTTTTGGTCGAATCTACTTTCCATTTTTGGGAAAAATCGAAACCTTAAACAACTAATAAAAAACAATCCCATCCAGCGAATGATATCGTTCATTTTTAGGTACTGATATAACAAAACTTCTTGAACAGAATTCTGTCATCCCACAATTCCGCCAACAACCCAAAAGAGGAAAACGGCAAGCAACCGTAGACGATCTTCAACCTATTGGGATGCCTTTTGAGTTTGATAAAGACTACAAACCTGCGGTAGGTCTGTTCCATTCTGATTTATCAGAGCTCCTTTATGTTATGCTTGAGAGGGTCTGTCTATTCCAAGGGAAAGTACAGGCTGTGGATACCACGATGGGTCTATACCATCGACAGAAGAGTTAAAGGGGACCACCACCATGGTCACATGATCAGTCGTGTGGAGGAAAGCTCCCAGTTGAAATAAAAGCACTGACCTCCTTTGGTTTATGTGAAAAGTAGCTAATACCCTCATGTATTGGTCAGTTTGTGTGTCACACGACTAATCCACACCATATGCTTCATTCAACATATTTTATGCTATTAAGCTGCATATAAAAACACTACTTTGCAGTAAAAACGAACTACTGGATGAACTAAGGTTAGGGTAATTAAATTAGTTGTTTCTCATTCTTGCCCGCGTGTGGCCCAATCCCCCCTCCACCTTTTTTCTGCCATTTCTGAGAAAAAACACAGTACCTCGCGCGCATCCATGGCGTGTGAAACACTTTATTTACTTTTTATGGATCAGGATAATTGACAATATCGTGGTACTGATATATGATCAAATATACCAGTAAAGTAGGCTAAATTTAACATATAAATTCAACATAAACTCAGTTTATTTCCTTCAAAATTAGTTATTTGTTTTAACAGTTATTTTAAAGAAAACAATCATCCCGTCCCTCATCAGCATTTTAGATAGACAAAAAAGGTAATATAAAAACCGTCATTCCCGTATCAATTTTGAAAATTAGAAGAAAGAGAAACAACTAATTTAATTACCCTGGCCTAACACAAAATACAAAGCCACTAGCTAGCTCATACAGTATACTTACCCCTTGCAAATTGTAATTTATTGAATTCACAGTAAACCTATCAATTTAAAAAAACAAAGAATATTGTTCTCATGGATCTATTATTCATGTTAAACTAACTATGAAAATATAAATATGAAATAATATGTTAGCTTGAAGTCATATATAAGATGAAAATATATGTTCATGCATTTGCATTTTTCCATAAAGGAATATACTCACTTATATTCCCATGTAAGTAAATACAGGTGCAATATATAATTTATATGTATATCTATGTCAATGCATTCTATACATGCGCGTATAATATCGTGATACATTTGAACAAGATGGTTCTGGAAAGAAATGAGCGTGGCAGATTTGCTAAAAAGCCACATACACCACAAAAGCAAGACCACTTTGAAAGGAAGTTCATTATTCTCAAGGGTACACTTCAAGTGAAAGCTACATTGCTACAGGGTGGCCTATCATTCTGAGACAAATGTATTATCCAACGATTGTGATTTTCGAAGCTAAAATATGATATCTTGAGCAGATGGAAATACATTCCCATGAGATATGTATATATAGTCAAAAGTGATAACTATTATTGAGTGTAATGAAACGTATCCTTCGCTAACTGGTTTTGTTTGAGATAATTATCATGAAATATTTTTTAATTAATTTTTATGTGTGTCATTGATCCTAATCCACCCTGTAGTCTGGTGTTTGTAGAGCATTGCACCTCGTACAACTTATTCTCACAAATATCAAACCTCATTTACTAATTAATTTTTTGTCTGAATATGAAGAGTCCAAGCATTGCTTTTTTATGTTGACTGTATAGCTATATTTAGCCTTGATATCCATGATTTTTTAAAACAAAATCTCACCGTTAGATTTCGAGCTATTCATGTTTACTCATTTTTCTAATTGAAAATCAATGCAAATCTCATTTTTTCAAAGGAAAAAATTGAAATTCTAAGACGGTGAAAAATCATTAAAAAATACACAGATTCAGAATCCGGCAAGCATTTTCCCCTATTCCTCTCCGTTAAGAAGTTTTGTAAGGTGTTGGATCCCTTTAAACTGTGCAAATCGAGACTAGCCTGTTTGCACCATTCTGATTTATTTGTTTATGTAACTTAATGCTTGAGAGAGACTCAGTCTTTGTATTCCGAGGGACCGTAAAGGTTGTGGAACCCACAATGTGTTTGCACGAATGGTATTCAAACGGGTCGAGATAAAACATACGTTTCATATGTCTCTGTTCTATGGCACAACTCGGTATCTACCAGGTCGTTCAATAAGTTCCCGGAAAAACGCTCTCATTCTATTAGTTTATAATATCTTTCATTGAAATTTTCACAGTATGTGTGCAATTTATTTTCAAATCATTGTATTAAATTAATTTGAAAATGTCTAACTAGTTTTTAAGTTATTCAACATCATGTGACGTCACAAAAGGGTATGCGGGGCACTGTTTAGTATTACGGTTTGGATCATTAAATCTAAACGTTTTAGTCACATTTTACGATATATTTAACACCCTTTGATGTCTTTGTATGCTTGTTAGATTATATGTTCACATAATCCTCCACTACATTAAATGCTCAAAATATGAACCATCGTGTTGAATACATAGCCTCTGTCTCTGAACCCATTGCTTGTATTGGTCACGGAACCCAGCTGGAAACTTCTCCTTTAGTGCATTCTGAACACCTGCTTTAAGATCATCAACTGAGCCAAAGCGAATCCCCCTCAGAGCTTCCTTCAGTCTGTTGACAACAGAATAAATTTAAAATTGTGTAATTTTAACGTCAAAATAGTGCCCCGCATACCCTTTTATGACGTCACGTTACCAAGGATAAGTAAATAAATATGAAATATTGTATACAAATATTACTATACATAAATTCTAAATATATTTTACACATACTGTGAAAATTTCAATAAAAAATACTACAAACTAACAAAATGAGAGCCTTTTTCCGGGAACTTATTGAACGACCTGGTAATTTGTAAAAACGTCATTGTAGATTGCAACATGGCCGACACCATCGGGAAATTGGACAGAGACAAAGGCGAAGACATTCTGTGAAGATTACATCATGAAGACAAAAGCAACTGAGAACTGCGAGAAAGGACTATCCTCCAAATATACAGAAGAAGTGAACACTTGTATGCTAGATATACAGGTAATGTTCATTGTTTTTTGACTCTTATTAAATGTAATTTTATGTTTGATGTAGAAACATTTGACACAGTAAATGAATAGCCAATTGAAGAATTGTGTGGATGCAATATGCTTCTTATCTAAGGTGTCTGATGGCACAGATTGGGCAGACTCCTCGCTTGAGTCCGTAAAGGAACAGTGTCAATCCGAGATCACGAAGTTTGATCTTACACCCGACGCCCCGAAAGCATCAACAATGCCGGGAAGTGATAAAGTAACAGTAGCCGACATTGAGAAGAATTTGTGTTTGAATGACTGTAATGGAAAGGAGAGAGGCACTTGCGTTGAAGGTTTGAATTTCGCATCTTTGTTTTGAATCATGTTTACGCTTGTATAGCATATTAAGACTTGACAGAATGTCTTCCTTGTGTCATACCATGATAAAATGGCCCACAGAACAAATTATAACACTACTTAACCCTATAGAGAGAGGGGTCGCAATTTCATATGCCATATCCACAACGTTCGCATTGGTCACACAAGTACCACCCCACCCATACTTTTTATAGGTACATGTCAATGTCTCGGTAGCTACGGTGGTAGTGACTGCTCTCTGAGTAAAAAGGACGTACCAACTGTGACTGGAATACCCCAAGATGGTCTTTGTAACCAACGTGCTAGCAACTGTAACTCTGTTGTTATCCAGGGTGATAATTTTGTAGACTCTAAAGACCTGAAATGTTTCTTAGAAGAAGTTGAAGTAAGTACAAATCACAAGTATGAATAATTATCCAGTAACGACATCTTTTAATTGAGAAATTAAAATTCGAATTCAAACATTTTCAAGCCTCAAATAATGCTATCAAACTTAAATTTCCGTTTATCAAACCTATGAATGGGGAGAATCACATCCTGGGAATCACATTGACCGTCCTTGTTGCATTGATTTTAGATTGATATAGACAACGTTTATGCGACCGGGAGGAAGAACTACCCAGAGGCCACGTTTATCAGCCAAGAGCAGGTAGTATGTCCCCTTCCCACAGATACCCGTAGCTACCTGGTTAACGTTGCCAATGACGGAAAGACGTGGAGTAGCAACAGGGTGCTTCACATCGCCTTTGATCCTCTTTGTTTCGGTTGCATGATCGACCCTGGACAAGGCACTGCAGTGTGCATGAGGAGGGTACGTGCTATTTCATTTTCAGAAGAGTTTTCAAATACTAAGCGTAACTTTAAATCATATTCACTCTCTCTGAGTTTTTCTTAACGTGATTGATTAACGATTTGAGACACTTGAACTTGAAAATATTTCAAAACAATGACCAAAGGAAAAAACATGCTTACCAATGAAAACACGCACAAAGAAGTATGGAACATAGTGTCAAATGACCCCTCGTCTAAAACCACAAGGCATCATGAGATCGATCCAAGAGCAAACAAGGCATTAACATGACAAAATGTCACCACCTAGTTGCTCACAATATTATGAGTTCAAACTTAAGTCAGATTTGAATTTCTGAGAACTTGTAAAGTCAAATTTGAACTGAAAAGATGTAGATGATTTTGAAAAAAAATTTGGTCAATTTGAAGCAAGTTGAAAACAGACCTTTTTGACCTTTTTTGACCTTGAGAAGGTCATTAAAGGTCAAATGTCAAATCTAAAGACAGATTTGAATTTCTGAGATATGTAGATGATTTTGAAAAAAAAAATTAGTCAATTTGAAGCAAGTTGAAAAAAGACATTTTTGACCTTTTTTTGACCTTGAGAAGGTCATTGAAGGTCAAATGTCAAATCTAGAGTCAAATCTAAAGTCATATTTGAATTTCTGAGAACATGTAGATGATTTTGAAAAAAAATTTAGTCAATTTGAAGCAAGATGAAAAAATACCTTTTTGACCTTTTTTGACATTGAGAAGGTCATTGAAGGTCAAATGTCAAATCTAAAGTCAGATTTGAATTTCTGAGAACATGTAGATGATTTTGAAAAAAAAATTTAGTCAATTTGAAGCAAGTTGAAAAAAGACCTTTTTGACCTTTTTTGACTTTGAGAAGGTCATTGAAGGTCAAATGTCAAATCTTAAGTCAAATCTAAAGTCAGATTTGAATTTCTGAGAACACGTAGATGATTTTGAAAAAAAAATTAGTCAATTTGAAGCAAGTTGAAAACAGACCTTTTTGACCTTTTTTGACCTTGAGAAGGTCATTGAAGGTCAAATGTCAAATCTAAAGTCAGATTTGAATTTCTGAGAACATGTAGATGATTTTGAAAAAAAAAATTAGTCAATTTGAAGCAAGTTGAAAAAAGACCTTTTTGACCTTTTTTGACCTTGAGAAGGTCATTGAAGGTCAAATGTCAAATTTTAAGTCATACATGAATTTCTGAGAACATGTAGATGATTTTGAAAAAAAATTTAGTCAATTTGAAGCAAGATGAAAAAATACCTTTTTGACCTTTTTTGACATTGAGAAGATCATTGAAGGTCAAATGTCAAATCTAAAGTCAGATTTGAATTTCTGAGAACATGTAGATGATTTTGAAAAAAAAATTTAGTCAATTTGAAGCAAGTTGAAAAAAGACCCTTTTGACCTTTTTTGACTTTGAGATGGTCATTGAAGGTCAAATGTCAAATCTTAAGTCAAATCTAAAGTCAGATTTGAATTTCTGAGAACACGTAGATGATTTTGAAACAAAATTTTAGTCAATCTGAAGCAAGTTGATAACAGACCTTTTTTGACCTTGAGAAGGTCATTGAAGGTCAAATGTCAAATCTTAAGTCAGATTTGAATTTCTGAGAACACGTAGATGATTTTGAAAAAAAAATTTAGTCAATTTGAAGCAAGTTGAAAACAGACCTTTTTGACCTTTTTTGACCTTGAGAAGGTCATTGAAGGTCAAATGTCAAATCTAAAGTCAGATTTGAAGGTCAAATGGCAAATCTAAAGTCAGATTTTCTGAGTCAGAATTTCTGAGAACATGTAGATGATTTGGAAAAAAAATTTAGTCAATGTGAAGCAAGTTGAAAAAAGACCTTTTTGACCTTGAGAAGGTCATTGAAGGTCAAATGTCAAATCTAAAGTCAGATTTGAACTTCTGAGAACATGTAGATGATTTAGAAAAAAATTGAAGTCAGTCTAAACAGTATTTGTTAAGTTATAGGAAGTTGTAAGAAATTGTTACAGACGCCGGACGCCAACCGCCGGACGCCGGACGCCAACCACCAACCGCCGGACGCCAACCACCAACCGCCGTCGCAAAAAAACGGAGACCATAACAATATGTCACCACTTTTGGTGGTGACATAAAAACCATGACACATTTCAGTCATACTAAACTAAAGACATTCACGACGTAGATTTAAGATTGAAAATAATTTGAAGTTATAATTCACTGAAATCTAAAACAAGTATTGAACTATCATTGAGAATCAAGTCATCTTTGCTATAATTTGCTTGCAGAACGACAATACAACCTGTATAATCGAAGAGCGTTGCTATGGAGACAACGAGACTAATGCTGATGACAGTTGCCTGAGATGTGATCCTGGATTATCTGACAAATGGACCAAGAGTCAATGTAATTAGTAGTATACATTTTCAAGGCGTCCTTAATTTCAACTTAACCCCAACATGTCTACGATTAGGATTCAGTTCTGAATCTGTTTTCCCTGCCTTCTTTCCACATTTCCTGACTTTTGTTTATCCATGCCTTTTTATTTAAAAGGTATGTAACCAGGGGCGGATCCAGGATTTTGTGTTAGGGGGGGGGGGGGGGGCGTGTGATGATAACTGAGCGAATTAAAAAAAAGATTCAAATTTTGTAAAAAGCAATGAGGCAAAACACGAATTTTCCGACTTTTTAGGGGGGAGGGGGGCGTGCGCCCCCCACGCCCCCGTCTAGATCAACAGGTGGTAACCATGCATGTGTGAATTATTGAGTATGCAGTCTGCCTTATGACTTGAACACAGGCTCTCTAAAAACCCATAACATGTCTCTTATATTAACCACGCACTAATCATAACTTCATAAGTCATCTGTCGATTTTGCAACTTAAAAATCATTTATAGTTGATAGTTGTCCGCAATCGCATATACCACTACTGTATGAAGGCATACATGTAGTTGCCAACTTTAAAAGGTATATTCAACTTTACATTCTAGCTAAGGAATGCATTGGCAAGAAACTCTCACAAAACAACACAGTGGGAATAGTTGTGGGCACTGTTGTCCCTGTGGTAGTCATCATCATCATAGTTGTCATCATTCTCGTCTGCTGCTGCAAGAAAAACAAAAGGTAAAAGGCCAACGGCTGAGAGAAAAATATCCATAAAAAGATAGTGAGAATAATATTGACACATTAATCAACACTTTTAAATTGATCTAAAATCAATGTTGAAAATGAGCCGATGGGTTTCAAAGATAAACGCCTTTAGAAGTCACTTATGCTCATTCTGCGTCTAGCAATAGAAGATGGGCTGAAGACAGTAAAAATAAATTTGTTTTTCATGTATGTTGCAGTAAGACAGCCAATGCGCAATCAGATGTACAATTGTCTTCAAAGGTAGCGCATAACAACAACGCATACCAGACAGGACCAGGAGAAAAATCAGACATGCAACCAACAGCGCCACCTGTTGTGTCACGTGACATAGCGGGGAGGCATCACTACTATCCGCCATCAAAACAATCCACCGAGCTAGAACCAACATACCTTGAACTGAGCACAAAGAAATAAAAAACTTTTAGCCACTTGGCAATCACCTCCATGAGGCCATTCAGATTTTACATGGTTATTGCAAATGAAGAAAATCTTCATAATTGTTGAAAACAGACTATAAACCGGGAACATTTAGGCCTACAATTACTAAAAAAATGTTTTCAGTATGCCATATTAATTTGCAACCACTGTATATTGTGTCCGAGGTTCAAGACTTACTTGGATCGCAAATTGGCGTGTCATACTAGGATAGGATCAAAACTGGTTCAATGTAAACATATCCGTCCAACAACGTTCGCTGCTGTCTCCTTGTATATCTATGCAGGTCATGATATTAAACAATTTTAAGGAGTTCCCAATTATTATATGACACACGAGATTCCGAGTCTTGCTGCAAGTATGCGAAATTAATCAGCGTTCGTGTGTATTTTTAATAACGTTTTGTCATATATATCCATTTTATATTTTTAGAACATTTTGTTCCGCTTAATGTTTATTAAAGGGAATTAATAAATGAGGATTAGATAACAGCCGAAGGGCAGTTTTTGTTACTAGTATTTTCTTTTTTAATCTTGGAAGTCCATGGGCAAAACACCCACATTTGTACTCTTCGAGGTAAAAATGTTGCAATAAATGTTAAACAAAACAATTTGAATTGTATTTTTCTGAAAAACAATTGAATGTACAGTGAAACTAATTTTCCTTGTTCCATGTGAATCTTGAAAATTTGTCTTACTGTTCCTTGTTCCCATTGACAGGTGTTCAATACACGGAGGGTCCGTCAATGTGCCGTTAGCCAATGGAAAAACATTCGATTCTTTTGAAAAGCGCTTCTTGTTAACAGGTGTTCCATACACGGAGGGTCCGTCAATGTGCCGTTAGCCAATGGAAAAACATTCGATTCTTTTGAAAAGCGCTTCTTGTTAACAGGTGTTCCATACACGGAGGGTCCGTCAATGTGCCGTTAGCCAATGGAAAAACATTCGATTCTTTTGAAAAGCGCTTCTTGTTAACAGGTGTTCCATACAGAGAGGGTCCGTCAATGTGCTGTTAGCCAATGGAAATATATTCGATTCTTTTGAAAAGCGTTCCTTGTTAACAGGTGCTCCATACAGAGAGGGTCCGTCAATGTGCTGTTAGCTAATGGTAAAACAAACGATTCTTTTGAAAAGCGTTCCTTGTTAACAGGTGTTCCATACAAAGAGAGTCCGTCAATGCGCTGTTAGCCAATGGAAAAATATTAGATTTTTTGAAAAGCGTTCCCTGTTAACAGGTGTCCCATACAGAGAGGGTCCGTCAATGTGCTGTTAGCCAATGGAAAAATATTAGATTCTTTTGAAAAGCGTTCCTTGTTAACAGGTGTCCCATACAGAGAGGGTCCGTCAATGTGCCGTTAGCCAATGGAAAAATATTCGATTCTTTTGAAAAGCGTTCCTTGTTAACAGGTGTTCCATACAAAGAGAGTCCGTCAATGTGCCGTTAGCCAATGGAAAAATATTAGATTCTTTTGAAAAGCGTTCCTTGTTAACACTGGTGTTCCTTGCAGAGATGTGTTCCATCGGACAGAATTTACTGTGATTGGATTGAATTCACAAAATCAATTTATAGACAATATTGATCAGATTTCTTTCCCTTGGCATCTAAGGTCTGTTATACTCTTCAAGCCTTCATTCTATGTTTTTTGAGATATAGATGGCAACTATTTGTGATGATTGATTTATACCTGCAGTGCTGTAACTGATGAACAGCAGGAATATGGTTCATATTGAGATTCAGAATGGATATAGTAGCATATAGGATGTGCCAAGTCATAAGACACCTGGTGTTCTTTCATTAAATTATATATTCTCTGCTTTGATATAAACAGTGAAACATGTAAAGTGGAGCACGTCTGTTAGTGGAACACTTTTTAGAGTCCAAGGACCTTTCAACTTAATGTTAAATGAACCTCTATAAGTGGAACACCTCCCAAGTGGAACACTATTTAGAGGTACCAAAGCTGTTTCACTTAAACAGGTTTATTGTACATGAACTACACAATGTCACTACACAGTACACACACTGTCACTAACTTCTCACAAACAAAATCCATAGGTTTAATTTTATGTATGTTTTATTCTCTTAAGAGTTGCAGCTTACATTGATAAAACATATAACGTTTCAAAACTTCTCTTACGAACAGTTTTTTCTGGATACTGAACTTTTGAAACTATAATACTCCCTTGGAAGACAATAGATATGGTTTTCATGTTACATGAGCCTTTGATAATATCAACAACAACTAGAAAAAAAAAAAAATGAGACTAGAATCTATTGTATCATGCATACCACGACTATCCCAAATTGTTTTTGACATTATCTATTGAGTATATCCAATAGCTAGGATGTCTATAGAACCATTATAAAAATGACATCATTAATTAAATTTATTGGACAATCATGAATCTATTGATGTTCTCTAAAACATATGTAATAATAAATAATGACAAGTACCAAAGTATTACTTAATAAGTTGAACCATTAACTCATATTATTAGCTCTAAATATTGGATAACACGCATTTGCACCTGATTGATTTAAGTTTTCCTGTCATACATTTTTGACTGCTGTAAAGTATGGCACAGTACATGTAAGTTGTGATACAGTTTAGTATATCATTGCTCCTACATAGTTTCAATCAAACTGAGTGTATTTTATACACAGACATTCTAACAACCCATGAATAACATGCACTGGGACTTTAACCTGGACTATCAAAGATTTCACCAAAATAAATACTGGTATATAATTATGTAGTAAAAACAGGGCTGTAATACAGTGTCATTTACTCGCTTATGTACATTTCCTGTATATATAAACACTATGTACAGACATGTAGGTACCTCAAAGTATATTGTGCACACAATTTTATCAATATCTCAAACATGCTGGCCAAGTTTAAGTAGAAAAATAGTGCAACATTTATGAAAGGGAGGAAGCAAATATTTGTGTGGCAAAAACCTGTTGCCAACAATTTGCCACGTAGAAGTTGAAAGTTTGGTTATTGTGCTCAAATTCTGATTGAACCTTAAAAATGAAAAAAACACATTAATTCAATTCTTAAATTTAATGTTTCCATATGAATATATATGTTGATATGAATATTTTGAAGATATTTAGAATAGACAAGGCATTACAAGGAATGACACTGGACAAAAGATTCTCAAATTGGCACGTTTTTCAAAAAAAAGGTTGAATCCATAATTTATATTTTATGAGGGGCACAAGCATGATCAGAGCAATTTAAAAGCACATATATACCAGGAAGCACCTAACAGCTTTATCATGACTTAAACTGTCCAATTGGAGTAGTTTCATCTATGGCAGCGTTAATGGCTTCATCTTTGAGCTTTTCCGGATTGGACATGACTGAGGTGTGCTTACTTAGATTTCGTACTGCGCTAAGTATAACTGCAAATAAAGAACAAACATAAATATAACAAATATAACCTTATTCTTGGTCTATTTTTTATGTTTGGCATACCTTTTGTAACAACTGTTATAGTTGAACTAAACCTAAATCAAATATAAGTCTGTTCTAGGTCACCATCACCACAATAGTATAGTTTCCATATAGCTTTTGAAATCTCGCTAAATCTCGTTTTTCGTGAGATTTTAAGAGACTTGCATATTAGACCTCTAATGACTTACATTACCTTCTTTTAAATGGCATATTTGAATTCAGTGAAATGTTTTCTCCTTTAATAGCTTTGCTTTACACAGTTATGTAATTTGAATAATTTTCTATAACAATTTAAAAAAACTTGGGCCAAATGTCCATAGATGCAATGCTAAAATTCTTTAAATCTGTGGATTATTTGTATGTCAATCAACATTTGCATGTTTAATCACATCATGTACATAAACAGGGTCATCATGTGGTATATCATTCAAGTTTTATACAGATTCAACAAACACACTTTGATAAATCATGAAATTAAGCCACTTTTCCAAGATTTTAGCATGTAAATGAATGGAGCTCTAGTTAAAAGCTGAATAAAAGATGGCAGCACGAGATTTCATTGATTTTTCTGCTATTTAGAAACTATCCTATTAAAAAAAAAACATTCATAGTTAGCACACAAAATTAATTTTTTCAAATGGTTGAAGACTAATATAGATGGCGGGTGACTACTGAGTCAGTTATTTGGAATGTCCTTTTGTATTGGATAACATGCAAATTTTTCTTCAAATAGCTCTTTTCAAACTAAGAACAATTCAATAATGCATATATAATTCCATAGGAAAGACAATACTGAACTACCACTACATTTCTTTTCTAATTCCTAAAATTTTGAAAACTTTTCTCCAAAATTAGGAAACATGAATCCATGAAGTACTGGATAAACAGTACCTCAATTAAAATATTCAAGAAGTTCAATAATGGGACCTTTTCACTGGATTTGCACATGTCTGTGGTTTTTCAATAACATGTGTTTTTGACAAGATATCTCTTTAGTAAAGTTAAAATTAACAAGATATAAAGGTAATCAATAAGATAAAAACATAAGGGTTGGGATAACCTCTGTGTTAGTTTCTTTTTATCAAATCTATTCATAAGAAATTAACTCATTTTATGCTGTTGTACTGTCCATGCTCTTACAGAAATATAAGTGAAATAGCGAAAAAGTGTTGTTACTTAAATACTTACTTGGCCTAAGTGAAATAAGGGAACAATGCTGTTGGAGCCAGGTTAGTGTGCTACTGCAGAATTCCTCCATGCTTGTAGTAACCACATTCTGATTATATGTTTCAAACATTGGCCGTGCTATGATACCAAACTGGACACAGTTAAGAAAAGTATTTGACAAAATTGTGACAGTATTTTACTTCATGTTAAGGTCATCGTTATAGTGTACATGATACAACTAGAAGCACTCCAATGAGTAGAAAATCCCCCCTAAACAAAACATATTTTACCAAGTCACTCCATATTTTGAATTTTTCATGATATGAATAACCAGGCAGAACAAAAGGAAAAAAAGATGGTCTGTCTAGTGTCTTGTCCTACCCTACTTATGTAGCATTATGGTAATAAACATTTGGATTGTTCAAGGTTAATCAAAAAGCTTTAACTATAGGGCTACCGGTAATTGTATTTCAAAGCACTATTTGCCTTAGAGGTGTTAATTTCAAACAGGTCTCACTAAAAATCTGACGAATGGTCATTTTATTCTAATTTATTACAAAAATCTAGATCAAGTTCAACTCAATGGCAATACAAGTATTGTAATAAATAATAAAAAACCCTTATGAAGATTGCGTGGGATGGATATTCTCTTAAATCTATGTTAAATCGATGAATTGAAGTGCAGAAAAATGTGGTTTTTGAGACATTTATTGTTGCCTACTCAGTTGTCGCCATAAAACTAACTGCATTACACTAATACATTCATTTCAATTTACTATGAATTTTGAACTTTAGAACTTTAGAATATCTTGATGTAGGCCAATCAATCAGGTACTTGACTTACATTTGACTTATGTATAAAATATTCTATTAGACACTAAACTTTTGAAAATAAATTGTATTATAATTACAGGTTATAATAAATGCATACATGATCGTCTTTTTTATTTTGTGTTCTCTCAAACATTGATGTGTAATTGTAAATTCTCTGAATTTTAACCTCTTGAATCCCAGGCTCTAAATTCAGTTGAACCAGAGAATTTTTCATTTTTGAAAGCTTTTAACATTTAACTACATACTTGTACAACAGGTTATGCTCGTCTTATTAAAATTAGATGGCAGAGTTCATTTCTACACATTTTAAAACAATTTTTTTGTTAATTGGATGAAAATTTTTCAAATAAGAGCAATTTTAGACAGATTATCTCGTCACTCTGGGTTTCAAGTCATTTCTGAGGTGACAAGAAATCTCGTCACTCTGGGTAGTCAAGAGGTTAAAATGGGAAATCTTCACTTCATCTACTACATCTACATATTATTTATGGTCAATAAATTAGTAGGTTTCAATTTCAAACTTTTACATAAAAACTGCAGACTTTTGACATAAGTGAACAAAAACCCCGAATAATGCAGAAAATTGTAGCAAACCATGAGATCTGAACAGAAGGTGTGGTGCTTGGTTTAAAAAAATTAATTCAATTGCTATTAGGTCAATACCCGGGGGCGGATCTGGGATCCAACAAGGGGGGGGCCCAAATTTCAGATCAGAGAAAAAACTTCCGCGCAATTTGGGCCAAAAAGTGGGCCAAAATTTTGAAATTTGGAGGCCCATTTTCTTCAAAATTAGGCCTGAAATAAAAAAATAAGGCCTTTTTTTGGGCCCATTTTTTTTTTCTGGGCCCACCCCAGATCCGCCAGTAATACTCCCATATACATTGTATTAGCTATATGGTGACATGTCCCTCAAGTGGGTCACTTTTTTAACAAAAAATCCCTAGATGTGGGTCCTATTTTGAAGAAAAACCCTAGATTCCCATTTTGACTAAAAAAATCTTTGTCTTCTTTTTAAAAATCCTAAAATCGGTATTATTCTTGAAAATTGTCAGAAGTGGGTCTTGTTTTTGAAAAATTACCTAGGAGTTGGTCTATTTTTGAAAGAAAACCCCTAGATGTGGGTTCATTTAGATAAAAAAAAATTCCCTAGATGTGGGAGGATATTTTGAATCTCAGCGGCTCCCCTTTGTACAAAAAGTTGACCAGTATGGTTAATGATACGAGATAAGGGAGACTAGGAAAATGGCAGGGGGAGACTAGGAGAATGGCAGGGGGAGACTAGGAGAATGGCAGGGGGAGACTAGGAGAATGGCAGGGGGGACTTCTCCTTTGGGAGACAATGGGATATATTTCATGTGATCACTTTACCTGGCCTTAACACCCAAACAAACCAGAAAAGGCTAGGCATTTTATTTTTTTTGAATGAGTGTACACATATACATTAGTACATGTAATCTACTAATCCTACCAGGGGCCACCAGGGCTGGTGCTTTGAATATTGGTTATTAGCATACAATGCAAAAATTTAAATTTAGATCAAATTTGTAAACTTTTGACACCAACTAAGACATAAACTTTAGCATAGAGAGAATTGTAGCAAGTTGTAGCAAACTTACAGGTTTGGCAAACATAACTTATAATGTCAATCTGACATTACTGCAACAAGCATTGTAGCAAATTGAGGCAAACATTTAGGTTATGACAAACTTAACTTAAGGTCAATGCGACATACCTGGTGGTTAAGAGGAGGGCACTTCCCATGGTTCATAGCTGTTACTGTCTTATGAGGTGTGAAATACAGGGTGAGCCAAAAAAGTAACCCAAACAAATCTTATTAACTCAGTAATCTTGAATGGGTTTGAAGTCATTGTTCAATATTCTTTGATTCAACCGGCCCCAATTCAGCCAAGTTTAATTGGTTTTTCAATTTCAATTCAATTTATTTATTTCATAATTCTTATATAATATACACTATAAAAAACAAGCCGCTGGACATACTAGTGGGTGTATGTGGATTTGGTCTACTGCTAATGGTCACGATTTCATCATCATTTTACAAAACATGCTCAAAATGCCAGTCTTGTCATTGTAGGCAAACTTGAACTCATCTGGTAACGTTTTCTGACAACACGCTTACAGATATCTGTGTGTTATGGCTCTAATTTCCATTCTAATCTCTTGTTTCAACTCTCTGATGCTTCTAGGATTGTTAATATACATATTATCTTTGATATAGCCCCGAAGATAAAACTCAGGGATTCATATTGGGTGATCTTTGTATGTTTTGCCATTTGGAGCATATTTTGTAAAATCGTCATAAAATCGTAACAATTGAAAATAGACCAATGAAACTAGAGAGATCGAAAGAACATTGGACAAAGCTGCGTTCAAAATATGACTAAAAACCTATACTGGATGACTGAGTTAAATTTTGTTTGGGTTACCTTTTTTGACCTACCGTGTATAATGTTATATTAATATACCAGGTGAATCTGATCCAAAGTGTCTCAATTAATGACATTGTCCTTACAACATTAAATGGTTTTGTGATCAATATGTATGCAAAAGTACCAAAGAGAATTGTTACAGAACACAGCAAAAAAAAGAAAACATCTAAGAGTACACCAGTCAGATGGAAAACAAACCCCAACTATCCCAAACAATCATCTAACATGAAAAGGAACAATGGCTAACACCCCCTCCCCACCATTCAAGTACCGATAATACAATCCAAGATCACAACACCAAGGGATGTTTCATTCATACTGATGTCATCACAATACACGTTAAAGAAAAAACTTTAAATTGATAACCACAATTAAAAGGATACAATCCAAAATTTCCAATTTTGAAAAGTTCGAGCTCTGACGTAATCATCAAACATTTTCTCAAGGGTAACAGCTTCCTTTTTCGATGTTAACGTGTCCTCTTTCATTGGTTCCGGCTCCTGGTTGTCTAAGCCCACATCAGGTAATTGTTCTTGGAAAGTGCTAAAAATACATCAGCATATCTAAGTCAAATGCATAACAAATATATAGATGATCCACATACAAAAATAAATCAAGATATGTGAAGCTTTTTCGACTAACATTTCTGCTGAAAGTTACTCACACATTCTGAAATCTATTTTTGGCTATGGTCTGTAAATATTCCCTTATTGAATACACAACCTTCTAGCATCAATTTTGAGTTCAGATTTTTTCAGAAAATTGCAATTTGATATTGAGAAAATAATGAAGATGTAATTTTCTATGTAAAACGCATGACATTTGCTAAAACAGTTGTTAATGTGCACGCAAAGCAACACTTCACACCCTAAGTGATAACGATGACAGTGGTGCATCAACAAGGGAAAAGAGTTCTCTACATAAATACAAGACACATGGTTACACACACGGTATAGCGCCGCATCATAAAACTACATACCAAAAATATTTCTCCAACCTGAAATAGAAACTAAAACAGTTAGTGAGCGGTCGCTTAAGTGTGTGTAACTATGTGACTTAAGCCAGAAACACTTCAGGGGACTCGAGCCAATGCCATAGATAAAAAGCTAAGAGTTCCCATATGTCTGACTGGCTTGATTAAAATGAAAATCAAGCGAAGGTGAAATACCACCTTACACCTGATATAGACCTGCAAACAAAAAGACAGTTAGAACGCATAGTACAAGGTTAAAGAAGCTCTATAATTAGGAACCATGAATTAATCAATCTTAAGAATTTTTGTTTTTACTTTACCTTACATCATGGTTCAATTCCTGAATCTCTAGCTTGAGGGAGGCGGCCTCCTTTTGGAGATCCAAGTTTTCAGTTTTCAGTTGCCGTGCATATTTAGCGGCTGCAAACGGTCATACATATTAGCAAAACAGGCCCCGGCTTACCACCCAGCTCATATTCCAACCATCATACATCTTTTTTTAATGTGTCAAATGCTCACCAATCATTGTGGAAGAACATATATAAAATGATCTTATATCTAGGTGAAATATCGCATTTCATATTTGAGGTTTGTATGTAAGAGCTGCGTGGCAAAATTTGCTAATTTTTCCAATTTTCAATTTCTATGAACATAATCAATATCAATACAGTAACATATTAAACCCAATAAACATTCAGAATCAGAAATAAGTAAATACACTACTAATCCTGTATGACGCATAAATACAAGATGTTGTTTTGATCAATAGCATACATCTGTCAAATGATATATGAATGATTCTACCTTAGAACAAAATGAGAAAACCTTGATCACCATCATCAAAGCTTTAACTGCTGAATAAATGTTTACAACTATAATGCTGAAGATGCTGATAAGGCTAATGTTAATATGAACAACTTTTGAACTTTTTGACTCTAGGCTTTGAAGTTATCCTGGAGAGTGATACTTACTTTTCAGCAACATGGTAGACTTGCTGTCTTTGCCGCTCTCATTCTGTATACTTGGAACAAGCTGAGTTAGTTCGTCGAATCCATTCTAAGGAAACATATTTTCAAACATTTAATTAGAGTTGATTTAGAGTGCGTGGCATTTCAGTAAAGTGGCAGAGTACAGTATTTCCTAATTTAAACATGTACAGTATTAAAATTCAGTGTGACACAAATTATATGTTTTTTGAAAATACTGATTCTATCACAGGTTAAGCAGATAGTCTAATTAACATTCACTGGCCTTAAAAGAAATATTCAATGATAGCTCTAAGGAATATTTTAGAGTACAATAATGGCAGTTGCCAAGTAAGATTAATGACATTTCCTTCAGAAATATCTGTGTTGAAATGCTTTGCCTGGAAATACGTAAAATGATGCAAGGGCAGGAACGTGTTTGCCCCACCACTGATCCTATACAAACTTTTCATCCCCAAAGCCTAGTAAATAGTTGAAGAGACAAGATTTTAAGACGGAAAATCCAAAATCTTAACCCACCTTTACCCGTTATGCCCAAAAACTAACAATTTGCAAAATTTCATACCAAAAACAAAATCTGAAAATCTCAAATGAATCCCTTAAACTGTTTGCACCTAACAAACTGATTACAATCTAGCACAAAATGGTGCAAGAACAAGTAAACATGAGTAGATTTGCTACAGTAATCTTTTATGAAATAATGACATATTTATTTGTTATTTTCCTTTTACTTTTAGGAGCAGGGTATTTATGTTAACTTTTCAAGGTGACTTTATAACACAATGTCACAACAAAGTAATTGTGAAAATTCTATATTATAAGTTTGCTTTTTCAAAACAAAAACAAACTTTATTATCAACTTGAGAATATAAGATAAATTGAAAAAACATAATTAGGATTTTATGTAAAATAACAACATTAGGACAAATTCACTTGTCTAACAGAAAATATATGTGCCCAGTGTCAAACACTAAAATTGTGCCAGCTGATTTTTCCTTTAAATAAAAAAGATTGCCAATGTTATAACATTTCTTAAAGAATAACGCTTAACTAATACTGTATTGTAAAATGTATGTTTACCATGTAACTGTATTGTAATTGTTTTTTGAAATTGCTTTAACATGCTTATTCTTTGAAATAAAAAAATTATATATATAAAAAAGAATTGTGCCAGCTTTGTAAATTTGCCAGCAATATTGAGACTGCCTAAAGCAAGGACTTCACTCTTTGTGTTCAGGGTGGGTTCATAAGAGAGCATATTGTAGGAAGGCCAAGTTCAAGTAAAGTGGCAATGAAAAAATATAAATTACAAGTAAGAGGTAAATGCAAACAATCTGTAAAATATAATTTATAGGTTGGTTCTAATTCATGGCCTGAACACAATGTACTATTATTTCAATTCAATAAATCATACTGACAAAATACATAAAGATTTAGGCCTATAGTATTTTTCAATACAACATCCTTTATAAAGTTCCGGAATCTAAAAATGTGTGTAAACCATATACTTGTATACACCACAACTTTATACTAAGTAAACATGGCTCAATCTAAAAAAGTATTTGATCAATCACTGAACTGATGAATAAACTTCTTGAAAGAACTTTTGGGTAGTTCATTTTTCTACTGTACAGTTGAACCTTTTTATCCCCATGGACTAAATGACATCAAATAAATAGCATTAACATGCAAAATACTCACTAAAACATAAATAAACATTAGTTATATATCATTACTTACCTTAATTTTGCCTCTTCGCCTTAGCTCAGCATTAATATGAGATTCGCGTTTATGTCTTGGGATCTTGCTATTTGTGGATGCTGCAGGGCCATTGTTGGGTGAAGCAAGACCATTGTTGGGTGAAGCAAGACCATTGTTAGGTGAAGCCAGGCCATTGTTGGGTGAACGCAATCCATTGTTGGGTGCAGCAAATCCTGTCGATGTATTGGCAGACTGAACAGATGCTCCAGAAATTAATAATGTAGAAGCTGTTGATGATGACACTGGAGATTTGGGAGATTTGGGAGACTTTGGGGAGGGAACGTAAGAACTACTTGGCGAAGCTGTTGCACTAGTTGTACGTGACCTTGGTCTGGAGCTAGGTCTGGAGCTAGATCTAGAGCCATGTTGTGACTTCGGTTTATTTTGAGTTTCAGTCTCAATCGACCAACTCACTGTATTGTTCTTGCCATCGTTCACAGCAAATGAACTTCTTGGAGATGATGAGGTATCAATGCTGTAATTAAACTGAGACACTGGCTGTGGGACAACTGGCCATTTTGGTGGGCTGCTACTATATGGTGTTACAGGCTCACTGTTATATGGCGTATGGGGTTTCGACCCATATGGAGTGGACGGTTTAGAGCTAGGCTTTGAGCCATAGGGTGTGGTATATTTTGAGCTGTGCTTAGAACTGTAAGGGGTGTTTCTAGGTGTACTCGGAGTCGGGGAGGACGTGCGTGAATTGGAACGTGATGTCTGATGAGGGGACCTGTCACGTTTGACCTGTTCTAAAGATTCTGTTAGCTCATGGAGATCCTGGAAATAAACCAAAATCTATTTCTTCTCCCTGTAAGGCCCATACAAAGTTACAATTTTCTTTATTTCAGTCGTATTGATATATTCAATTAATTTTATATATACTTTTTTAATTCATCAATACTTTTCATTTACATATAATTTACATCAGATTGACATACTCCCGGATAAAGCCTTCTTTACAATAAAATTAAAAGAGGCAGCTGATGCTTAAGCATTAAACATTCAAAAGAAAATGAAGAAATTAATTAATAAGAAGAAAAAGAAACAACGAGAAAGAAAATAATTAATACTTTGTTCCAAAATGGAAAACTTGAGATTTTTGGCGAAAAATTCCTGCCATTTTTAAGCTGTGGCCATCTTTTTTTGTGTAAAAAATTCACTAATAAACATCTTTTCAGCAATTATGAAGAAACTTTGTCTACTAGATATATAGTATTCAAGTTGTCTTTCAAACAACAGACCTCAGTGGCATAGCGTGGCATAGCGTAGCGTATTTTGTAAGTGTACGCCACTAGTGAGTGAAGGGAACAAGCTTTGACGGGGGTTCTCCCCCAAGAAAATTAAAAAATGAGATTGCTTTTGAAGCATTCTTGGGCATTTAAAATACAAAATTCCAACTAATATGGACTAACAAAATGAAAGTTATTGGCCATTTTTCCAGAACTTCCAGTATTCTTAAAGTGTGAGGCAATTCAATGTTAAAAATTAACTTTTCTCTAAATTTGGAGAGTATGCAGGCCTGTCAACTGTCCTGCAATTTGCGTATTTGTCACGCATTTGCTGAAGAATTTGAAGTCACGCCAGTTATTCTTGCGTGACAGAAAATGTCACGCAAATACGCATTTTACCTGGTAATTGTCAAGCAAAAATATTTCTGTAGAAATTTTTTTAAAAAAGATCATCTACACAGCAAAAATACGAACGCCGGAAAAAAACGTACGCATATCGTTCGGACTTTTCACGCGAATTACGTATATGTCACGCATTCCGTTCGAAATTTTTCGTATATTGATACAATGAAAATATGTTCAGTTAAGAAAATATTTTCTGTCCAACAGAGATTTTTGTGATTTTATAATATGGGGTCTATGGGAATCTATGGGGGTTTGAAATGACATCACTTCTCAAAAGGAATTCTAAACAAACTGCATATAGCAACAGTGGAATAAACAATTTCTGATCGCTCAAGGATAATCCCTTGCAAAATCCTGAGTATTAATTTATTTCTACGGTTGGTTACGAATTACTTAATATTTATCTTACGAATGAATTCTTCTTAAATTAGACGTTAACATCTCATGAAGTATGGTGAATTCTAATCGTTAGGAAATCTAATCTAAATAGATTACAAAGCGTCCAAGGTAAGTAAAGCGATGAAAAACTGGCTCAACAGTGCTAAATAGCCTAAAGGAGAGTTGGAGGTCTTGAATTCTTGTTTTGATATCTATCTCGTTTCGAAGAATGTATTAGACGTCTGTGGTTGATAAATAATAAGGTGAACCTGATTTTATAAACGTGTTTTTTTAGTTTTGTCGCGATTAATTGAATCGTCAAAAGTGATTTTGGCGATGCATTGATGTCTGAAACAAAACATCAATGTTATTACAAAAAAGAAATCTGCTAAAATCACCTTTTCCTATCTCGTTTTCATACAAATGCCGTACCTTTTTCATTCTTTATTTCATCTTCTAATATTCTCTGATATGCTTTCACTATAAAAACATTTAAGCTTATTGAAATAAAGCAATAATCTCCATTTTTACATTTGGTTACGCACGTGACCAACTGGAAGTTAGATACTAGTCTATTATTAAGCCTATTTGTTGCATTTAGAATTTTATTTATTTGATGGTGGTAAATTTGGTTCGACTTTTCCTGATGTACATGTAGTATTCAGTCTTTAGGTAAGTGTTCAAATATTCTTCTACAAAAATAGCATTATTGTTTTCTCTTGATCATTTATATGTTTATGGACTACATTACATCTTCACATGGAAATAGGCTTTTCTATGAAGCCCTTTGAACTCTGGGGTATTATCCCCTCCTCTTTGTATGATACTGATAACATAGTCTGCATCTGTCTGCATGTTATTATCTCAACGATTTGATTGGCCAAGCTGTAAATGTCACGTGACATTTCTGTTTACAACTATATAACCAAGTTCAACCCCGTCGCAATTTCTATCACTTGCTGCTGCCAAGACCAGCACACCTCCGTGAATGAATTTCGAACATGCTTTATCTATGAACTTATAATTCAGCGGAAATACAACAGAATCTTGATAAACCTATGCATTTCTATTATCCTTGTACCATCCTCTTTCTATGCTCGAATCACTGGGTCAAAATATGGTGTAATACGAAGGAAATTCGATGAAAATGGTCGCGTAAACAACGAGTTGAACGACCGATCGTGAATATAAAGTCATGCATTACATTCTTCGTAATTTCACAACATAGAATTCATCCAAAGAAATAATAATCTTACCTCTAGATTCAGGAAGGAGAATCCTTGGTCTGGATAATATGAATTTTCATCTAACTGTAGCTGGGAGAAGAACAAATCGGTGTTAAAGTCGTCGTTCTTCATTCCAAATTCGTTCATTTCTATGATGGCTGCCTGGTTTGTTATATCCCATAATTCACCGCGCCACATACTCAGAAACTGGCACAACCGCAAATCCGATTTAAAATCCAGTGTTTGTTTGATTGTACTAAGTTTAGATAAGAATATACTAGTTTTATACCCGGTTTTATAACAAATAGCCAAGGACGTCCTTGATATAACTGAATATACTTTCAAAATAAAATAATACATTGATTCTGATCCCTGTGATTCTGATAATAAATTGTACAGTAAAATGATAGGCAAGTGTGCGTAAGTTACTTTCTGCGAAAGCTATTTGGATTTTGATATAATAGCTTTCCCACGGAGCATTTGGACAGCTCAGTGATCGTGACCTTTGAAATCGAATTAAGTAGATCCGCGGCTTACTTTTGGTCTCTAACTGTGTCTTACATCAGTATCATCAATCCGTGTAAGTATTGGAGCGCTGGAGTACTTCTTTTTCGATCAAGACTTGTAATTGTTAGGTCGAGTGAATCGTTTTACTGCCAAATTCCAATATGGCGGTTTCTGCTCGGACATTTTCGTAAATCTCCGGAGGTTGTCCGAACCTAACTAATTCTCAAAATTCATTTCGTTCGTTGCGTATCTCGCACCTAGCAAACCGCCATATTGGAAATAGGTCTGTAAAACTTTAACTCGATGAACAATTTACAAGTCTTGATCGAAAAAGAAGTACTCCAGCGCTCCAATACTTACACGGATTGATGATACTGATGTAAGACACAGTAAGAGACCAAAAGTAAGCCGCGGATCGACTTAATTCAGTTTCAAAGGTCACTATTGATCAGCTGTTCACTTCTCCGTTTGAGAGCCATAAGTTTCAAAATCTAACATGGCTCTCGAAGTGAGTAATGCGTAAGCACATTTGAATATCATTTTATATGTGTAACCAAGACATAAATCACTCAGTACTACTCTAGATAGTCTTATGGGAAGGCCTTGAACCAGAGTACGGTGTTTGAGTCATGAATGCCCATGAAGCTAACATAAATGCAGTTTTTCTTCTTGCAGCACAACCCATCTGTTCAGGTCAGATTGACCATGGTTTTGATAACATTGTTTTTTTATCAATGTTTGAAAGTTCTTCATTACTTTAAGCTCTGATTGTGATTCAATGTAGTGGCTGATTGTGTTGAAAGATATGACCTCTTGCTGTCTGGTTGTGCTTCAGTGTAATGTCTGATTGTGTTGCAATGCTATGACCTCTTGTTGTGTGACAATGTATAATAGTACCTAGCTAAAGTGTGAATGTGATTCAAGGTACAGATAAGCTCTGATTGTGCTTCAGTGTAGTGTCCGATTGTGTTGCAATGATGGCATAGTCTTGTTGTGTGACAACGAATAGGAACAAGGTAAAGTATGAATTTGCGTAAGCTCTGATTGTGCTTCGGCGTAGTGCTTGATTCTGTTGCAATGGCATAGCCTCTTGTTGTATGACAACAAATAAGAACAAGCTAAAGTATGAATGTCAAGTAAGCTCTGATTGTGCTTCGGTGTAGTGTCCGATTGTGTTGCAATGATGACATAGCCTCTTGTTGTGTGACAACGTATAGGATCAAGCTAAACTATGAATGTGATTCAAAGAAAGCTCTATCTGATTATGTTTCGGCATAGTGCCTGATTGTGTTGCCATGACTAGCCCCTTGTCGTATGACAACAAATAAGAACAAGCTAAAGTATGAACGTTAAGTAAGCTCTGATTGTGCTTCAGTGTAGTGCCTGATTGTGTTGCAATGACACAACCTCTAGTTGTATGACAATGTATGGTAACTAGCTAAAATATGAATGTGATTCAAGATCTTTGATTGTGCTTCAATGTAGTGCCTGATTGTGTTGCCATGACTAGCCCCTTGTCGTATGACAACAAATAAGAACAAGCTAAAGTATGAACGTTAAGTAAGCTCTGATTGTGCTTCAGTGTAGTGCCTGATTGTGTTGCAATGACATAACCTCTAGTTGTATGACAATGTATGGTAACTAGCTAAAATATGAATGTGATTCAAGATCTTTGATTGTGCTTCAATGTAGTGCCTGATTGTGTTACAACGATGACATAACCTCTTGTTGTGTGACAACAATGATTAGTTACTACGACTAAAGTGTGAATGTGATTCAAGGTAATCTCTGATTGTGGCAAAGTAGGCCCCTGTGCATTTCTATGGGATTGTGCTTAAGTGCATGATAGCAGTTTTTCTACCATGTCACCCGGAGACTGATTAACAATAGGCGTCAATGTCATCTCTAGGCTCTAAAGAATGGAATTATTGTGATTCGATGTAGACTCTAATAATGCTATCGTGTTGGGCCTAATGTCTAGTTGTGCTTGGTTTAAGCCCTGATTGTGTAATATACAGGCCATAGACTTGGGCCTGTAGCCCGTGATTGTGGTACAATTAAACCTTCGTGCCTTATTGTACATTTAAGTAGCCCCCGGTTGTGTTCTGAATTGTTTAGGCCATAATGTCTACTTGTATTGGTTAAAGAGCTATGCATCGTTAGGTAGGTTGCATTTGTTTTCGTACACCCTATACATTGATATAGACGTAGCCCCCGATTGTGCTTATATGCAGGCACTATGGTCTGATTGTGCTTCAATGTAGTTACTAATAGTGCTATAATACGTAGGATCTAATGTCTGGTTTTGGTTTTATGCAGCCTTTATTTGTTTTTAAAGTATATAAGCCACACTGTCTGTGCCTTTACCTCTGATTGTGCTACAAAGTAGATTACAATGTAGATGAGTACCTGGGTGCTCCGATGTATCACAATGATGGACCCATTGTCTGATCGTCGTCCTTCAATGTGGCCTGTGTTTATTCTACAATGAAGACCAAAGTATCTAATTAATGAATTATGCATTAATATAGCTCCTGTAGTTTATGCTATAACGTAGCCCCTGAGTGTGCTAATATAGGATCAGATGTTTGATTGTGCTACAAAGTAAGTCTTACTGCTTGATTGTCTATCAGTGTAACCTATGGTTGTACATCGTACTGTATATATGCTTGTGCTTCCTTTTAACCTCAATTCGTTCCACAGTGGAGTCCCTGGTCTCTGTGCTTCAATACATCCTCTGATTGTGCTACAATATGATGCGTCTGCTCGTACTTTCCGTATATATAGCCCCGAGTTGTACTTCAATGACGACCAGAGTCCCTGATTGTGCTTCAAAGCATCTTCTGTTTGTACTATAATGGGAATCATTGTGTCTGTCTGTGCTTACATACAACTTCAATGATAGCCCCAATGACGGCTCTAGTCTCTGATTGTGCTCAACTTCTGATTATGGCACAATGTAAATCATTATGTCTGTCAATATGTAATCTCTAATTGTGCAACAGAGGCTCCTAGTGTCTAGTTGTGCTGCCAATGTACGCTTTATTATGCCGCAATATAGACCTATTTGTATTGTATGATTGTGCTTCAATTTATCATCTGACTGTGCTACACAACACGTGAATCAGCATCTCATTGCTGCTAACATGTCAATTGACTGTTACTATATAAGCCTTTGTGTCTGACTGCTCCAATTGTACCAACGTACAATTTTCTAAAACTAGCAATAAAACATCTGATTGTGCTGCTGTTTTTGATTGCAATAGGGCCCAAGTTTGATCGTATTTGAAGTCAGATAGAGGCCTCCAATGTTGTTCTAGAGCTTTGATTTATTGTACTCTCGCTCTACTGATTGTGCTGCGGCACTTCTTGTATCAAATATGGTTGCCTATTATATTTATTCACATTTCAAGTCGATTAATTAATTATAGAGATGTTTTTTTCTAATAAACGGGCTCACTTGAATTTTTCTTATGTTTATGTTTATTTATTATTTAAAATACACACAAAATACAATATATGAACTGGGTGACACTTTAAAAAGTGTATATTCCCAATAATCTTGGTGCCAAGTCCCTAGTTTATTGGGCCTGTTATGTTTATGTTCAAAATATATCTCAAAATATACTCCTTTTAAGCACCTTGTTACTTTAAACCTAAGACTCAATGCATTGTGGTCAGGGAGATCATTGTGACTAGCAATGTACATCAACACATTTTTCAAATGTTGGACTTATTTTCTAAAAAGAGGATCTTGTTTTCCTCATTTTTATAGGCATACAAAGACATCTATAACTAACTTTTTCATATGTAGAACTGTAGAATGGCACTGAAAGTCTACTTTGGAAGATATCAAGATTTGGTGACCAAAACAGGCTGAAAACAATGGATAGCTAGTACAGAGTATCATTGACTCAGACCATGTAGGACACAGGAATTTTTCTAACAAATAAAACTAATTAATTTCTTTTTCTAAATTTTATATTTCTAGTTTATACAGTTTATTTCTAGTTTATATAACTGAATTATTAATGTAACTGCTAAATCAACATGCAAATAAATAATACATAGACTAGTTACATAAAACATTTGGCAATACTTTAAGCTCTCTAAATATTTTGCATGTCAAATGTAAATGATCAAGTGATTGCATCGATGGAGTAGACTCAGTGAAAAATGGTATAAAAATTAAGAAAACACAGATCAACCAATCTAGGCAGTTAAGATGTATCACATGACCCATAAGAGTAAAATAATCAGACAATTTTCAAGAGGCTGTTTTTTTTCATTACAAGACCATCTTCAACTACTGCTAAGTTATATATCATGTGTACCATGTCTAGTAAATGTACTATACTATAAGAAAATCAAAAAAAAATCAGTACATTCCGGGGGAAAGCTAGCACTGATTGTGTTTGATGAAGTATTGCTATGCTATTATGACAAAAATATTAAGAAGATATTGTAACCATTATTATTTTGGCACTCTTTACTAGCTTATATTGGCCATTTTTAAACCATTAGTTTCAATCTAAATGCATCAAATGAGGCCAAGAAAAATAGTCTTGTAAGGCCTGTGGCAAAAATAGCGGCTTGTATGAAAATTGACACTGGTGACCAGAAACAAGAATTTTTTCTCATAGTCTGAATACAAGTACAATGTAGGTTTATAACCTTTGTGAGTGACAATCAATCAGAAATTTGGATTAAACCCATGTTAATCTGAGCTTAATAGAAAGAACAGTAAAACCTGTTTAAGTAGAACACTTGGTTGCTCTTAAAAGTGTTTCAATTTGGAGGTGTTCCACTCATAGAGGTTCATTTAACATTAAGTTAGTTTGTCTTGCAACTCTGAAAGGTGTTCCACTAACAGAGGTGTTCCACTTTACAGGTTTCACTGTACTTCTATACCAATGAGGATACATAATTGGCAATTTCAGCTAATATTTACATTCAGTAGTTTGGCAACTTTGAAATGGCCAAATTAAATATGTGCACAAAAATAACATTGATTCCATTTTTTTAACTTAAGTTAACATCCATAATTGATCAGTTCGAAGAACACTAACAGCCGTTATCTTCTCTTTCAAGACAGTAAGTGTCTGTCACAATATTTTAAGTTTGCATCAATATTAAATCACTTTGCAGTAGAACCATCTTCAACTTTTCAACTTCACCAGCTTTGTATGGAATAGAATATGAAAAACTAGAAAACAGAACTCAACAGAGTAGTAAATAATTGATCTGTACAGGGTGACACAAAAATGTTACCCTCTAAATTTGGAATAACTTTTTTTTTACTTTGGTTTGAAATGAAAAACTAAGATCCATGTGAAAAATTACCACCAGTTTCAAAGCAACGGCTATGAAAAACAGAGAGTTGGATGGTTTCAGTGTGGACATCATAATTCGATGATATTATCAACCTCTACCTCCAAGAGTCAGCAATGTAAATTCTTCAGTTGGTAAAGGTAAAGTTATGGCAGTTTAGAGTAGACAGTCCCTTATACAAAACAGAATAAAAACCACTAAGGTTTTGTCAAGCTTGTAACTGAGCTGACTTATACATTTGTTATATATAAGTACAGATTTGAATGAACTTGCGGCTCAGATAGAAGACTGTAGAGTGTGAGATATCCTGATTCAGATAGCTATACAGGCTAGCACATGTTCTCTTATGAAGTCTATAGCAACTATTTATCAGATTGGATGTCCTTGGAAAAGAAGTATAGTTTGATGAACAATATCGAGTGAGACAAGGTAAGAGCCATTAACTTCTGGTACTGACCAATTTTATTGTTCATCATGTTCATGATTTGATTTTAAACAACTTTGGTCTCCAGTTGCTAGTCAATAAGGATTTTTACAAGGCAATTAGACAACTGTATCTCAACCAATAAGCTATAACTGAGACAGATGGTTCTAGCCATGATTTTAAAATAAGTCCACGAGAAACTCTCTCTGCAGGGGCCAACTCTAGTCTAGTGTATTTATCCAATCAATGAGCTCTTGTATGACAGGGTCAGGTGGTTCCAGCTCTGACAATTTATCCAGGGTTTGAACAAGTTCCACAAGACGCTCTCTGTGTAGGGGTAGCTCTAGATTCTTGGCCCTAATGGCTAGAGCGATAGCATCCTCTCGTTTTCCACAGAAACCTGCAAGCAAAGGGTGATCAATTGTAAATAGATATCATCAAATATGTTGTTTATTTTAAAAAAATATCTTTATCTTAAATTAATCACATCAGGCTTGTAAACAATATTTCTGGGTCATGTAGCAATGTAAATATGGTTTGAAATTCATAACAAAGTAGTTAGTTAGATGAAAACAAAAGATATCAAAATTGACATTTATTGTCTGCCATTCTCCCAATACTGACCTGTGAACATGGTAGGGGAGATAAGGGAAAGATGTGCAAGAAGACAGGCAGACTATTACTATTAGGCGTTTGACAATTACTTTCATGCATTCTGGCTTGGCTGCCATTTGAATACAAATTGGATTTTCTTAAAAAAACAATTGATACATTGTGTACATTTTTACTATGCCGCTAATGTTATTAAGTTAACAAAGGCATTCTTTTGTACTATTTCAATATCAAGGAAATATAAATAAACTGAAAATATATAAAAAAAAATATATATATATTGTGTGACAGCCAGAATTTATGCACAGTAGTCACATGTCACATGGAGACCAATATGAAAGCACTATTGATTATCTTACACCATTGTTAGTTTACTTACAAAGTTGGGCTAATGTGGTTTCATACAGCAGACATTTTTGTTTCCTTCGTATCCATTCAAAGTTAGTGAGATATTGAAGTACAACATCTCTGTGTGTTGTCACTCTATCTGATCTTGTACAGATGTCATTAACCATGATATGCACCAGTGATTTTATCTGCTTAACTTTAATGTGTTCTTCGAGAAGTGTTTCTGCTTCTTCAAACCGTTCACTTAATATGAGACATTTCCAGTAAAATGCAATAGGGTCATAAATATCATTTTCCTTGCATTCATTTACAAAATCTTCGATATGCTGAAGTTGATCGGGAAAGTGTTTCATAACAGTAATGGTGATGAGTGTAAAGAATATGCTGACATCATCGAAATTGTTTTTCTGAGAATAAATTTTCTTCATCAAGTCTATTCCCTCATTCGCACAACCACTATTGAAATATGCATCATTCAAATAGAAGTAGAAACTTTTGTCTGTGTACACTTTGTGATCACCTTTGAAAAGTTCATTCAGTTCAATGATTGGTTTAAATTCCCCTATATTGGCCAATTGCTGGTAGAAATTAAGCATTGTACTTCCACTTGGGTACACATCTTCCGCAGCTGATTGCTTTACAAATTTTATTCCACCTTCAACATCCCAAATATCCATGTAGTGGATCAATTTACGATCCACTCTCTCTTCGGGAGTAAGGTATGGGCTATCCCAGTCCGGTCTCGGATCCCAATCAGTTGAGTCGCTACGGTCATCACTAAACAATCTGATATAGCCAGCAGTATAATATAGGTGTGGTGGCAAATTCAACAGTTTAGATGCATGTTCAGTTGGGATGTTTCTACGAGTGCTTTGTATTGGTCCAGAAATTGCTCTTGGATGTTGGGAGGTTACATATGAATTGCATCTCTTAGATTGCTGATACAAGGCGAGCAAAAGTCTTCTGTTCATTGTTATTGATTCAAGCTCCCTAAAAGTAAAAAAATAAAATGTTACTTTAATTTGATCTACACTCTACAGTACACTGGCGGATCTGGGGGGGGGGAGAAGAAAAAATTGGACCCAAAAAAGGCCTTTAAATTTAAGACCTTATATTAAATTTCAGGCCAAATTTTGAAGAAAATGGGCCTCAATGTTTCAAATTTTTGTAAAGCGCAAGCGCGGAGTTTTTTCTCTGACCCTTATTTGTGCCCAGATCCGCCCCTGCAGTACATGTAGTGCAAGTCAGGTAATTATAAACTCTCCATGCTGGTAGGCAACCATTGTCACTAATAATCAATTGAAAAGAAAGACACGATGTCTTCATTCTATCTTAGAAACTGTCTTCGTTTCCTTCATGGGCTCTACCACCTCTGATAGAGCCCATGTTTCTTATCCCGTGCCAGGACTATAGTCCTGCAGTGAGAGCATTCTTTTGCCTGTACGATTACAACTTGGGAGAATTATCTACGCCCCTTATACTTAAGATACCTACTTCAATTGAATCCTGGGTATTTTAGCATTCTTTTCGTGTAGTTGAATCCACAATTGTCTGGGTATATCGGCAGAACAGGAACATTGTTCTTTTTCATCGAGAGATATTCCATCACTTTCCAAGATGGCGGTTGGATTTAATAGGGGATTCCCCGTTTGACTGACCCGGATGTGGCCCGGAAGCACCAAAAATGGAGGAATTTGACGGTTGAAATAAGTTAAATATTACACGCAAATATTGTGATTAAAAACGAAAATTTCTTTGTTCTGCCGATAAACCCAGACAATTGTGGATTCAACTACAAGAAAAGAATGCTAAAATACTAAGGAATCTATCGAAATAGGTATCTTAAGAGTAAGAAGCGTAGAAAATTCTCCCATGTTGTAATCGTACAGGCAAAACAATGCTCTCACTGCAGGACTATAGTCCTGGTACGGGATAACATGTTTCCTTGCGAGGGAATTGATTTCTAATTATTAAACAACCTATACAGTAGTCTACTGCATGTATTTCTTAGATATAACCATATTTCGAATCCGAATCCTATGCACATCGATATTTACCTATTCACATAAACGAATTAGCCATGCGACTAAGTATGGAAAAGAAGTAGCCCTTGCCAAAAAATAAGAATATAGTCCGGAGTAGGGATACTAGCGGTTACCGTTGGTTATTTGGTTTTCTGTATAAAAAGCTCTTTCTCCTTTTCTGTCCCGTCGCAGCGCCATCTAGTGTTTGATAAATGAATCAAGGTTTATTCTCGATAGGGTAAGTACTAATCTATCAGGAAACATTTACAAGTTTGGTTAGAAACAGAATTTTTATAGATGGCGGAGTGATTTTTGAGACTATGTAGAGCAGAATAATTTTCTGAAACAGGTAGCTTTACGGTGGTAGCTCTCTCCAGATTCAGTTATCTCAAAAACGGTGTGGTCACCGTATGCTTATTTTGTAACGGCAAGCTAGACAAGACTCCAATGAACACTGGGCACTGTTTCGCTGAGCTAGATCTGTGCCCATGAATATATTATCAAATGAAACGTTATAATGGTCGTCAATGGGATTTTTTACTGCAATCTTGACCCTATTAGCAACAGGGTGGTGACAGTACTAGGGTGGGAAATAGCGTTATTTTTGTAAAAATTACACTTTCTTAGCAATGTGTACCTTGCATCTCTAAGAAAAATCAAATTATCTGAAGAATTAGCAATTTAGATTTTCGCTGATTCAGCATTTTTCATTTTTTACCTAAAAATCACAGGTTTTGACCATTTTTGGCCTGTATTTTGTTACAGGATAGCACAAGAGGGCTGTTAGTGCTGGTTTTAAGAGGTTGTTGACAGGCTTTTATCAAATTATTACCGAATTTAAGGATTTAGCCATTATCATAGCATGTAATACAGCTTTTTCCTTTGTGTCTGAATTTTTCTTGAAAATATATGACAAATTTGACACATTTAACCCAATAGACTGACTAAATATGGCTGAAAACAGTTACTAACATGCATGTAATTAAAACAAGAACATTGCTATGCAAAACTGATATGATAATTTAATATAGAAGCTCATTTACTGAAAATTAATCACTAAATAATGGCTAATTTGGGGTAATCTCTGATCAAAAATGACTAGATTTGACCATTTTTTGTTTCATGGTTCAGTGATTTTGGCAATAAACATTATGGAAGTGCGAATAAACGTTTTGACATGCTAAATATTGTGAATTTTTGTTAAGCCATAGCGAGTAGCAGTATTTCTATTGCAAAAATGGTCAGTTAGGTATAAAACTGCATGGCCCTAAAATAAATGACCCCGGGGTTAACAAAGCAGCTATAAAAGCTCTTCTATAGGTGCGATTGGGCTTAAATTGCACAAAAAGTCTTGAAACACTCTTATGTTTAAGAAAAACAAGATTTCTGGCACAAAATCATTCAACCGTGTCACTATTAGAATATAGTCCGGAGTAGGGATACTAGCGGTTACCGTTGGTTATTTGGTTTTCTGTATAAAAAGCTCTTTCTCCTTTTCTGTCCCGTCGCAGCGCCATCTAGTGTTTGATAAATGAATCAAGGTTTATTCTCGATAGGGTAAGTACTAATCTATCAGGAAACATTTACAAGTTTGGTTAGAAACAGAATTTTTATAGATGGCGGAGTGATTTTTGAGACTATGTAGAGCAGAATAATTTTCTGAAACAGGTAGCTTTACGGTGGTAGCTCTCTCCAGATTCAGTTATCTCAAAAACGGTGTGGTCACCGTATGCTTATTTTGTAACGGCAAGCTAGACAAGACTCCAATGAACACTGGGCACTGTTTCGCTGAGCTAGATCTGTGCCCATGAATATATTATCAAATGAAACGTTATAATGGTCGTCAATGGGATTTTTTACTGCAATCTTGACCCTATTAGCAACAGGGTGGTGACAGTACTAGGGTGGGAAATAGCGTTATTTTTGTAAAAATTACACTTTCTTAGCAATGTGTACCTTGCATCTCTAAGAAAAATCAAATTATCTGAAGAATTAGCAATTTAGATTTTCGCTGATTCAGCATTTTTCATTTTTTACCTAAAAATCACAGGTTTTGACCATTTTTGGCCTGTATTTTGTTACAGGATAGCACAAGAGGGCTGTTAGTGCTGGTTTTAAGAGGTTGTTGACAGGCTTTTATCAAATTATTACCGAATTTAAGGATTTAGCCATTATCATAGCATGTAATACAGCTTTTTCCTTTGTGTCTGAATTTTTCTTGAAAATATATGACAAATTTGACACATTTAACCCAATAGACTGACTAAATATGGCTGAAAACAGTTACTAACATGCATGTAATTAAAACAAGAACATTGCTATGCAAAACTGATATGATAATTTAATATAGAAGCTCATTTACTGAAAATTAATCACTAAATAATGGCTAATTTGGGGTAATCTCTGATCAAAAATGACTAGATTTGACCATTTTTTGTTTCATGGTTCAGTGATTTTGGCAATAAACATTATGGAAGTGCGAATAAACGTTTTGACATGCTAAATATTGTGAATTTTTGTTAAGCCATAGCGAGTAGCAGTATTTCTATTGCAAAAATGGTCAGTTAGGTATAAAACTGCATGGCCCTAAAATAAATGACCCCGGGGTTAACAAAGCAGCTATAAAAGCTCTTCTATAGGTGCGATTGGGCTTAAATTGCACAAAAAGTCTTGAAACACTCTTATGTTTAAGAAAAACAAGATTTCTGGCACAAAATCATTCAACCGTGTCACTATTAGAATATAGTCCGGAGTAGGGATACTAGCGGTTACCGTTGGTTATTTGGTTTTCTGTATAAAAAGCTCTTTCTCCTTTTCTGTCCCGTCGCAGCGCCATCTAGTGTTTGATAAATGAATCAAGGTTTATTCTCGATAGGGTAAGTACTAATCTATCAGGAAACATTTACAAGTTTGGTTAGAAACAGAATTTTTATAGATGGCGGAGTGATTTTTGAGACTATGTAGAGCAGAATAATTTTCTGAAACAGGTAGCTTTACGGTGGTAGCTCTCTCCAGATTCAGTTATCTCAAAAACGGTGTGGTCACCGTATGCTTATTTTGTAACGGCAAGCTAGACAAGACTCCAATGAACACTGGGCACTGTTTCGCTGAGCTAGATCTGTGCCCATGAATATATTATCAAATGAAACGTTATAATGGTCGTCAATGGGATTTTTTACTGCAATCTTGACCCTATTAGCAACAGGGTGGTGACAGTACTAGGGTGGGAAATAGCGTTATTTTTGTAAAAATTACACTTTCTTAGCAATGTGTACCTTGCATCTCTAAGAAAAATCAAATTATCTGAAGAATTAGCAATTTAGATTTTCGCTGATTCAGCATTTTTCATTTTTTACCTAAAAATCACAGGTTTTGACCATTTTTGGCCTGTATTTTGTTACAGGATAGCACAAGAGGGCTGTTAGTGCTGGTTTTAAGAGGTTGTTGACAGGCTTTTATCAAATTATTACCGAATTTAAGGATTTAGCCATTATCATAGCATGTAATACAGCTTTTTCCTTTGTGTCTGAATTTTTCTTGAAAATATATGACAAATTTGACACATTTAACCCAATAGACTGACTAAATATGGCTGAAAACAGTTACTAACATGCATGTAATTAAAACAAGAACATTGCTATGCAAAACTGATATGATAATTTAATATAGAAGCTCATTTACTGAAAATTAATCACTAAATAATGGCTAATTTGGGGTAATCTCTGATCAAAAATGACTAGATTTGACCATTTTTTGTTTCATGGTTCAGTGATTTTGGCAATAAACATTATGGAAGTGCGAATAAACGTTTTGACATGCTAAATATTGTGAATTTTTGTTAAGCCATAGCGAGTAGCAGTATTTCTATTGCAAAAATGGTCAGTTAGGTATAAAACTGCATGGCCCTAAAATAAATGACCCCGGGGTTAACAAAGCAGCTATAAAAGCTCTTCTATAGGTGCGATTGGGCTTAAATTGCACAAAAAGTCTTGAAACACTCTTATGTTTAAGAAAAACAAGATTTCTGGCACAAAATCATTCAACCGTGTCACTATTAGAATATAGTCCGGAGTAGGGATACTAGCGGTTACCGTTGGTTATTTGGTTTTCTGTATAAAAAGCTCTTTCTCCTTTTCTGTCCCGTCGCAGCGCCATCTAGTGTTTGATAAATGAATCAAGGTTTATTCTCGATAGGGTAAGTACTAATCTATCAGGAAACATTTACAAGTTTGGTTAGAAACAGAATTTTTATAGATGGCGGAGTGATTTTTGAGACTATGTAGAGCAGAATAATTTTCTGAAACAGGTAGCTTTACGGTGGTAGCTCTCTCCAGATTCAGTTATCTCAAAAACGGTGTGGTCACCGTATGCTTATTTTGTAACGGCAAGCTAGACAAGACTCCAATGAACACTGGGCACTGTTTCGCTGAGCTAGATCTGTGCCCATGAATATATTATCAAATGAAACGTTATAATGGTCGTCAATGGGATTTTTTACTGCAATCTTGACCCTATTAGCAACAGGGTGGTGACAGTACTAGGGTGGGAAATAGCGTTATTTTTGTAAAAATTACACTTTCTTAGCAATGTGTACCTTGCATCTCTAAGAAAAATCAAATTATCTGAAGAATTAGCAATTTAGATTTTCGCTGATTCAGCATTTTTCATTTTTTACCTAAAAATCACAGGTTTTGACCATTTTTGGCCTGTATTTTGTTACAGGATAGCACAAGAGGGCTGTTAGTGCTGGTTTTAAGAGGTTGTTGACAGGCTTTTATCAAATTATTACCGAATTTAAGGATTTAGCCATTATCATAGCATGTAATACAGCTTTTTCCTTTGTGTCTGAATTTTTCTTGAAAATATATGACAAATTTGACACATTTAACCCAATAGACTGACTAAATATGGCTGAAAACAGTTACTAACATGCATGTAATTAAAACAAGAACATTGCTATGCAAAACTGATATGATAATTTAATATAGAAGCTCATTTACTGAAAATTAATCACTAAATAATGGCTAATTTGGGGTAATCTCTGATCAAAAATGACTAGATTTGACCATTTTTTGTTTCATGGTTCAGTGATTTTGGCAA